GGGCTGGGCCAATTTTGACCCTAGGGCTTTTATTTGAACAAACTTGGTAGACACTCATTAGAACATGTTTCATGCTAAATATCTTAGCTCTAGCTCTTTGGATTCTTTAAAAGAAGATTTTTTAAGTTTTTACTATATGCATATAGGGAAAATCAATGACCCCCTGGGGCGGGGCCAATTTTGACCCCAGGGCTTTTATTTGAACAAACTTGGTAGACACTCACTAGAAGATGTTTCATGCCAAATATCTAAGCTCTAGCTCTTAGGGTTTTTTAAAAGAAGATATTTAAAGTTTTTTCTTTCGGTTGCCATGGCAACCAGAGTTCTGCATGGAATTAAATTCTTTGAACAATTTTTAAAGGTGACCACCAAAGGAACATTCCTGTGAAGTTTGGATGAAATTGGCCTAGTGGTTTATGAGGAGATGTCATTTAAAGTAAAAGTTTACGGACGACGGACGGACAACGGACGGACGCCGGACGAAAAGCGATCACAAAAGCTCACCCTGTCACTTTGTGACAGGTGAGCTAAAAAGCAATGGAAAAGTAACAAAGGGCAATAACTCTGTAATTACTTTAGATAGAGTTATGGTTCTTGTGCACTGCACTTCCCCTTATTGTGTTTGACAATTGTATGAAGTTGTTTTGAATTCCAACCAGTAGTTTTCAAGTTATGCCCTGGACAAGGAAAAGTAACAAAGGGCAATAACTCTGTAATTAGTCAAGATAAAGTTATGGTTCTTGTGCACTGCACTTCCTCTCAATGTGCTTGACCATTGTATGTAGTTATATTGAATTCCAACCATTAGTTTTCAAGTTATGCTCCGGACAAGGAAAATGCAACGGACGTCTGGACCGACCAACCGACCGACAGACCACCGGGTGACTCCTATATACCCCCCCCAAACTTTGTTTTTGGGGGTATAATTATGCAAAAATTCCAATTAATATTCTAGTTGATTGCACACTGCACTACTATGGTCACAAAAACATTACCTATTTTTAAAAATCAAAAAATCAAAATGGATGAGCATCAATATTGCTGCAAATCTGCAACATTTCACAAAGGTAAGTAAGCTCAAATAAAAAAAAAATAACTCAGAACTTAACAGCTATACTTCCAGTAAGTTGCAACCTTTAAGCTACCCTTCAATTTATAGATTTCTTAAGTAATTATTTAAGAAATTCACTGAACACTTTGTGAAATTTACTTCTTAAGTAATGCTAAAAGGTTATTATCCGACCTTATTTTATTTTTCAAATTCATTTCACTGTTCAATAACATAAAGCAGTAAACTGGGCATTAAAATCAACAGCATACAGAGTGCAATTAGGTCAAAGCTATATATAGTAACACTATGATGTATTGATCTATGCAGACTAGAATACACATCAAGTTAACACAAGTCTAAATACAACACATATTCACAATACATAAATAAATAAAATGCAAAATAATAAATTATTTCCATATCGCAGATATGGTAAACATATAAAAATTTACGCTCTTGACAATGGAAACACTGACATTAAAAGTTATCCAAGATAACTGGTATAAAAAACACATGTGAGCCCTAGTTATGGCAATAATTAAGTTTAATCAAGATTTGTTTTGAATAATATTTTACTACAGAATGGCCTTATATAGATCTATAAAAAATGCTAATAAAATTATTTAATATTGTTTAATTAACATTCATTTATATTAATTTTTCAGTCAATCCACATTACATTTTGAACATTCTATAAAGTATTTAACATAATTCAAACATTATTTTAATATATGAAAAGATTAACATTAAAATGATCATGTTTTTATTGATATGAAAGTTTTCCCATACAAATCAAAATCTACAGATTATTTCCGTACATAAGCCTGCCTGGTGCATCTTGTTGGTGAATAAGCAAACTATTGATTAATCTTGTTATTTTTGGTTTCAATCATTCATTTCATTGGATTTGAATCAGATTTCTATACATCTAAATATATAATTATGTAAATTCAAGTACATTTGCACTTCGTTAATTTTGAAATTATAAATATTAATATATGCGACGTGGAAATCATCCACAGCTAGTTTGTCAACAGTCCCATGCTTTATTTTGAATCATCAGATGTTTATGTTTTTTCGTGTTTTTTTTTAATGTGTTTTTTTTTTAATTTAATTAAAAACTGTAAATAAAACTCTGATAATACATGATGCTATTAGTTGTCTCTAAATTCAAAATTAATTAAATGTTTTTAAATTTAAGAAACCTCAAAAGATAACTCATACTTTCATGGTATATTCAGGGTTTTTCAAGTTCTTAAATGTACATGTTTTTGAAAGACCTAGTTATATCAAATGAATCTTTTGACACAAAGAGAGAATATTTCATATTTCTTACAGTTAACACATTTATATCTCATTCCTAGTTAAATAAAAGATAAATGCTTTTTCCTTATCAGATGGTTAAAATAATTTGATAATGTTGCCAAATATAATGCTGCAAAAAAAACAATAAAAACAATAAAAAACAAAAAAACAAAATAAATATGATATGAATTTAAGCTGATATGTGCTGGTTAGAAAATTGTACTGTCAATACTTTTATAACACATTTGGATTTCTTCAATGAAATATTTTCTATATTTTCATCAAACTTGGTTTTTTTGCAACTTTAATAAGTTGGCCCTAAACCTTTAGATAATTACATTTGCATAAAGGATTGCTTTTTTCCTGTTCTATTCCCAATTTGAGCCCCATCTCTCCCCTTTTCAAAATCTGCTTTTGAAACCCTTTTTTGAACCCCATTTACAAACACATTGTATTTGAAATGAAAGAAAAAAAATATATATGTAAATTACTATACATGATCATCCTTAAAAACATGTAAAACCACATTTCAAGTGAAAATAAAAATCAAATTCAAACAAACAATGCGCACACCTAGTATCTTCATAATACATAAAACACCTGGGATTATATTTGTTTTATTTTATTACACAAAAGACTTCCTCATATATTTTTGTTTGTTTTGAAATCATTTTCAACAAAAGAATTTTGTAATAAATAGACAAATTGTTGCACTTGTTTTAGACACCAATCTCCGCCATATTTATTTACCAAATTTTGAAATACAGTTGAAAAAGTATGACATAAGGAAGTTTACATGAACATAAGAGAACTGCAAATGTTTACATTATTTTGATCGTATAGCGTTCATCCTACTGAATTTATAACATGGACTAGTCCATCATAGTATTTGGGATAGTCCATAATGACTTTAAGAGATTTCAGCATCAAAGCAATAAAATAATGTGCAGCAAACAGTATTGAGCCTATAAAAGTGTATTAGCTAGATTGACTTTGTATTGGCAACATATAAATGTTATAAAAGCTGCACATTAAAGTATCTCCCTATCCAACTTGTTTTATATTACCTATTTCCATTTTTGTACCATCATATAAGAGATTATTAAAGTGAACAAGATCACGTCTCTTGTATGGTAATTATTATTTACTATTCCTAACAAAAAATCTCCAAAATTCTCAAGTGTTTAAACTGCCTGTTTATTTAAAGCGTAAAATGACCCCAACTTTGGGTTTAGATAATACTTCATATGTTTTACCCTCCAAGAAAAGTGGCTCAACCTTTTTTTTTTTTGTACACAATGAAAGCTTAACATAAACACAAGCATATCAATTACAACTCATTTGATGTAATACCAAAGAGTTTCAATGTTTAAAAAATACCTTTCAAATATCAATAGAAAAATAGTTTTGGCAAAAAACATTTTGTAAAATGATTCTCTACCACAACACGGACTGACCATTGAATGAGTTACTATGGTTACAATAATGCCACATGATTATATGTACATGTAAGAAAATGAAATAGTCAGAAAAAAAGCAACAAAATCTTTATGATTTGAAAAAAAGCTTGCAATAGCCGACAATTTTATGATATTTTATAAACAAAATCTGAATGCTTTGTCTACAAAGCTCTAGTGGGTATTACGAAATATCATGTTCATAGTAATGAGGCAACACAGTTAGGCAGGCCCAGTCTTCCCTATGAGTCGCTATCAAAATAATGCAAAAATTACAATGTATCTTTGTCACATGACCTCTGTCTTTATAATGGTCAATTATTTTAACAAAGCATATATATTTTATGCCTCATTTCTATGTCCAGTGTAAACAAAATGAGAGAAAATCAATATATTTAGAAAAAAACTTAAAATCTCTCCCCAAACCTGGGGCACCTCCCCTACGAAAAAATCTGGAAATTCTTGCTCCTGACATTTCCTTTAAAAAAATATATATACATTGAATTCTTATCACAAAAGTGTCTGAGACAGAAAACAATTCAATCACTGAGGTGTGTACTGCACTATATAAGCTCTTTATGCAGCTATAATGTGCAATGTACATATACATGTATATAAAAGCAAAGAACTAGGAATGTGTTTTACTACATATAAAAACAATATTATCTGGCCTACAGATTTTTTTGTAAAAATATATCACAAAACAAATTTGACATTATAACATTTTTATCTATTGTCTTTGTATTAAAAACAAAAATGTCTCCATATGCATACAAGGACTTTCAACAAACTCATTTGGCTTGTGAAATATAATCATAACATCTGCTTTCTCCATAGCACTTCATTGTCAAAACACTGCAGACAGTCCTCTTTTTATGCAGAATACCAACTTTCTGAAGCAGACGACCAAATTTCTGAAGCAAATGGTCAGTCACTCGAAGCAGACGCCCTCAAAATTCACGCAAAATACTTGAATAACCACATCTGAGCATTATTTACTAAGCGTCAATATATATATATATCTATATTATCTCTCTTCTACATATAACAACTGTAAGACATGTCATTTTTCTTACATTTCTAGTAAAAACAGTTGTATTGCGCCAAGCGCAAAATGCTCTCAAAACCTTCATAACCTTATTGTTTTCCTTCTCGAAGCATGGTTCAATTCAATTTCAAAATCAGTGGAAACAAGTTATTTCAAGAACAGCCTGTATATTTAGTGGAAACAAGGTTATTTCAAGGACAGCCTGTATATTTCATAGTATTTCATCTTCAAAACACCTGTATACCAAATATTATTGGCTGTTTAAAGGTGTATCCATGGCTATCACAAGTATGTAAATCTGGATATCTCTGGACTGGTTACTATTTATTTATATATAAAATTTTCAAGGGAAATGCTGGGTGGACAGTCTACCACTGCACTTCTAGAATAGCCGGATTTTTCTCCAGTATTGTCAATAGCATTTTATCTACATACTGCCTTAATCTGAAGTTAACATCTTGTTGCTCCTTCAATGATTTCATCAACTGTAGAATACAGAATAATAAAAATATAACAACATATCTGTTACTAGATTTTTACGAATCAAAATAAAACTAATTAACACAACATGACATTAATTGCTCAGTATAACAGCTCCTTCCATAGACCGGGAAAAAAACATTCCATAAGAGACAAAGCTGGCGTTGCCAACAATGATGTGAATAGAATTAAACTCATCTTGGCTTTTATATAGTTAAAGATCCTGTAACACAATTTTTGTAATGGCTTTAAATCATAAATATGATGCTCAAATTAAGATTTATCAATATTGTAGGTTCCAAAAAAGCATTATTTATAAAGATGTTACCGAATTTAACATTTCATGTAAATAAAGGGAGTTAATAAAAAAATATTTTCTATAAAGTTTAAGTCAAATTTTACAATAAGAAATTAATGATATATTTTAATGATTACATGTAATATGCACAAATATTTGCAGTACATATTTTACATATTCTTCTATGCTTGAAAATTGTTTTATTTGCATAATTATGTAAATATATATAATTTCACTTAGTGCGTTTCACCACTTTGATCACAACATACATTCATATAAGGTATTCTTCCATACAAAAACTTCTTGTATCAACCAATTATTTTAAAGTTTAATTTTTGAACAGTAACATCTATTACAAAGATCTGATAACTATTAACAATTTATTTGACTTCAAAAAGTTTTTCTTCTTCAAATATGATTTTGAAAAATAATATTTGTAAAACAGAATGAATCCTGGGAAAATTAGTTACCTCCTCCTTGGTCATGTGATCTAATTCCTCAGCCAATGAATTGCCTTCTTGCAACATGTGCCTGCCTTCTTTAACAGCTTGAGCCAATAACTGTGCATTTAGTTCTTCATTTTCTTCTGCAAGGTGCTTGTTTGCCTGTAATTAAATTTATCAAATTATCAATTTAGAACAGATTTTTTTAAGTCTTGATTGATTTTTGTTGATGATGTTATTCATTTTCATAGTTTTTTTTTCTCACATGCCAACTGTCGCCAATCTAGTTTTCAAGAGGAGTAATGCATTTCTTTTAAACAATATTAAATCCATGTTAGTTTTGCTATACACAGCAAAGAGATGAGTCTAGATACAATCAATGACAATGTATATGCAATTACCATGCTAAAATAATCAGCTGCCATCAATAAAAAACTTGTAACAATTTGAATTACATGTCTTGATATTTTAATGTACAACTAATGCACATTTGATAGCTATACAAATAATGTAATGGTATAGATGTTTTCATAGTTGTTTTTTTAGTTCAGTGACTGATATAAAATTCAATGACTGATAAAAAAAATGCTATAAACTGAAACATATTTTTTATGAATAAAGGGAGGTACTAATAAAAAAAGTCTTCATTGTCAATCTTAGAAAGGTTTGTATATTTTGGTTTCATGCAAATGAAACAACATGATTAATTTAAGTGCTTTGCATATTTTTACGGTTATATCAATAACATTTTTTTCCAAAAAAGAAACGCACCCTATAACCTACAACATCCCCCCCAAAATACACCTCCCTTCACAAACAAGAAGTGTAAGTCATGTTAAATCACCCTTTCAAAAATCCATGCAGTAAGTAATTAATCTATAAGAAACCTTATCTTGTAAGGATAGATTTGTGCAAATAAATCATTAGATCTTTAGTGATTTACTTTCCTAATACTAGAAAGAATTTGGAATAAACCTCAAATGAGCCGCGTCACAACAAAACCAACATAGTGCGTTTGTGACCAGCATGGATCCAGACCAGCCTGCGCATCCGCGCATTCTGATCAGGATCCATGCTGTTCGCTTACAAAGCCTATTACAAGTAGAGAAACTGATAGCGAACAGCATGGATCCTTATCAGGCTGCGCGGATGCACAGGCTGGTCTGGATCCATGCTGGTGGCAAACCCATTATGTTGGTTTTTTAGTGATGCGGCTCATATTATATCTGGCACCAGTGGACCTCTATGTAGAGCAACAGAAACTTTAAAAGCTAACTTAAAATAGGTTTTGCTCATATCAAAGATTTCAACATAAAAAGCAAGTAAAAATTTGATTCCTTCACAATTTTATATCATCATTTGACAGATATACAATCCTTTGACTCGCCAAATTCATATCAATTATTTCAATATTATATTTTGTGTTATATTTTTCCATGCCCCATGGAAATGCTTGCATATTATTTTGACCTCCTGACATGTCAAAAATATGGAAATACAAAAAGAGAACTTGATCATAAATCATTATGTAAGTACTACCCTATGAAATCTACTAATACGAGGGTTGTCCCAATATTCTGTGACAAGATTTATTAAAAGCTAAATAAAACAGGTACGAATTTGATATTTTAATATGTTATAAACCCATATAATTAAAACATTTTCACAAATTTTCATAGATAAATATCAACAAACAACAAAAATATGCCATAAACACCATGGCAACTAACTGAATCGCGGCGCACGTCCAACGTCAAAGACGGCGTTAAATCTATATAAGGCGCCTTTCTCAAATACTCACAATGGCTTTCAACGCAATAATGGTACCCATAAATTGTCAATTTCTGACTTAAATCATGTGGTTGTTAATGTCTGTTGAATGTTTGGATGGCATACATAATTTGTTGCTATACGCGAACTTCCGGTCTCGTTACTCCTGTTTTTAGCTGTAGGAAATAGGCGACTAAGATCGGTCTTCCTATCCGTGTTTTCCTTATTTTCGCTTTTTGTAGCGCAAAACTCTGGTTCCGTTCATGCCTTTTGTACAGAAATGCTCAGAATATGTTGCTAAACTGTTATATTTGGTATATTTGTTGAAAATAGTTACATGTGTCATCTCGAAATAGTCATGAAACCTGAGTGACATGTTCACTGCGCCGCAAATTCTTCGAACGTCGCCATTTTAACTTTCCTATTTTATATGAGATATTTTCATTTATTCGTATCTTTTTCGTTTTTTTTAGTTATTTAACTAAAATTTTCAGAGATGATTTAAACATAGCAGCAGAGGAAGTCAACATGTCATTGTGCAGACACATCATCAGATATTTGAAATATACGTAATTTATTTCAGCCTATTCATAACAAAATGTAAATTATTCGACGTGCGCCGGCAACTCAAACCAATGTCGTTAATACTGAAAATTTCTAAGTAACTAGGGTAAATTTTTTGTAAATGATTTGTTGTAATGTTAAATAATAAACTTAACGGTTATATGTGTGAATTATTTTCTATTGGCGTTAAAAATGAACCGGCTATAAAATTTGTCACGGACTTTTGGGACAACCCTCGTACTGCAATACTTGGAGCATATTAATTAACTGTTACATATTGCAACATAATTATGGTTTTGTATTTTGTTCCCTTTAAGTATTTTTCTATTGCCAGGTAACAAAGATACAGCCTCAAATTCTCACTGACCCTTAGCCCCCACAAGTTTCATTCAGTCACTGTAAATTCATTTTCATGTGACAATTTTTTTCCTATTTCCAAATGCAGAAACTTTATAACATTTTCACACCAAACTTATTGTGAAATACTACATTTAAGGTAACTAGGTTGTGCTAGTTACTGATCCATAACGATAAATAACTCTCAGGTATTTCAAAACCACAAAGGTAAATATAAAATGTGCCATATGTAGATAAAGTTATGACTATAAATTTTTTTTAAATGCACTTATTTTATTTCCTTTTTTTACAAAATCCTGTATGACTTTGTGAACTGGAATCACATTGTCAAGCTTAATTTAATAAAAAGTTTATGCAAATATATTTTCATAGTCAATGTTTACATATAAAGAATGTTTTTACCATATGCTAAGTTTGTTTGTTTTGGGTTTTACGTCACATCAACACAGTATAGGTCATATCGCGACGTTCTAGCTTTACTGGTGGAGGAAGACCTCAGGTGCCCTTCCGTGCATTATTTCAGGCACGAGCCGGCACCAGAGTAGAACCACCGACGTTCCGTAAGCTAGCTGGATAGCTTCCTCACATGAAAGAATCCAAAGTCCCTGTTGGGATTCGAACCCACAGCGGTGAGGGGCACCATATGCTAAGTGACTGATGTTTTAGTTCAGATATAAATCAAAGAATAAGCTAGAACTGTTGGCAAGAATAAACATTAAAACCTACCAATTCTTTAGTTACACTAAAAATATATCTTATTCTTTTACACTGAAGCCTAATATTATAAGGGGCCCTAACTCTTCTATTTGCACCAGTCCCATGTGACTTTTAGCATAGTTAATATGTAAAGCACTATTCTAATAAAATAAGGTTGGGCTGACCAATTTTATACACTGTACAGTCATAGATACACATAATTATCATATAAGCCATGAAAAACATAAAAACAATCACAGTTTGCAGAAACAGACCAAGGATGGCAAATGGCCATTTTTCATGCAATTGATTTGTTCTCTTTTTGTATTTTCTGATCGTAAGATCAGTAAATACATAGCTAACATCCACGGTCTAACACAAAATTTCCTAACAGTCCTAACAACGCAAAGTAGTTCTCACTCAAAACTGCTTAAAAACCAGCAATTTAAAAGAAAGAATAATTTTTAATGTAGGCATTTAACGAATTACAGTGCATTAAAAGTTTAGATTAGTCAATAGAAATATGAGGTAACAATCACAAATTTCGCGGATGAATATCTTTTTTACCCAATGAAAAATGTTCGGCTATTTCCGTAAAGCTTCGGATTATCATGAATATCATTTTAATCAATGAAAATGCTATTTTTAGCTATGCAAATTACCGAATACTCCAGAGCGTAGTACACAAATAAATCTGACTGTCGAGTAGTGGAATATATACATGTCGGACTGTTTTCGATAAATTATTTTCATCAGTGTTAAACAACACGTTTATCGTGAACAAAATACCTCAAAATTAATAAGGATTACAAACACGAAATGGAAATTCTCAATTTAGAATTACATAATGTATTCGTTTTTATTCAAGGTTCATATGTATAACTTCGCCGTGGTGCAGAGGTAAGCGGTCTCGTTGAGGGTGTGAGAGGCCTATGGTTCAAATCCTAGTCGAGGCAATTCTATTTTTTTTTCATGCAAAATTCCATATGTAAATCTCAAACTGTTATAGAAGAAAATCAAAACGCTGTCGCTGCGTAAGATGAATTATAGTATATAAAAATAAACTTATACAGGAAAGTACATACAGATAGTCAGTATGATTTAGATTGCAAAGATCAGAAAATACCATAGAGCTGCAGCCCTTTGATTTCATTTTGGCACTATTTTGCTATTTTACACTATTATGAAATTTAATGCATATTTGAAGCCTTATCGATTACAATATTTTCAAACCAAATTAAGTTCATTATATAATGTACAAACTTATATAATGTAAGTATGCAATTTTTTTTTAACAAATACAATGTGGGATCAGTGGGCTATAACAAATCCTCAAGTTTAATATTTTCATAGCATTATTTTGTTAACACTGATTTTAAACACATTTTTAGTTAATTATCTTGTTGGCCGACTCAAAATTTAAAGTAGAAATAGCCAATTGCCATACAGGTCTATTAACTTCATGCAATAGAGATGTATCTGTATGAATGAATCTATACAAGTATTAAAGCATGACCACTGTAACACAGTTTAGCGGTTAACCCTGCAGTTCTAGTAACAAACCACCTGTATATAGTAAGGCCAGTCTGCATTTTATTCTCAATGCAGTGGAACTAGAAATGAACTTGTCCAAGTTAGAAGAGAGAAAATTCCATTTATAAAATTCAGAAGAGGCAGGGTTAACTTTATAATTTGCTACAGCATTTTGACAGTCCTTTCATGAAAATGATTACATGTATTTAACTAGCATAGCAAAATAAAAATAAAGAAATGTCTCAAGCAAAGTGTACATAAAAAGCAGGACAAAAACAGCTGCAAACTCCAACCAACAAAAAATTAAGAAAATGCAAACAAACAAACAAGTTAATAAACTTTGGGTATTATGTTAGAAAATACATAAGGAATATTCTGTTTCTTTGTTCTGTCTCTTTTTTAATACATTAACAAGTTCTAAACACATTTTTAAATTATAGTCATCTCTATACAACAATGTAATATTATCTAAATGTGCATTTTGAAAGCATTTTATCCCAATTTTTTACTTTTTACAACTACTATCACAGACTTGATTTCCAAACTCAGTATTAAATCTTTTTCGATGAATAAAGGGGAGTAACTCCTGCTTCCCAAAAAGCCATTAACGGTATTATACAGGAAAAAATAAAGGGGTTTTTTGTTTAAATTATAAATTAAAATCATGTTACTAAGTAGTTTTTTTCTGTTTTTGAAAAATAATTCTTAAACAAAAGAAATTTAAAAATTTTAAGTTTAGAGTTTTCAAATATGCCCAAATATCTTTAGAAAATGAAACTTGACTGATCCTGGAAGTTTTAATAAATCAGTAACATAAATATGTTTAAAATGTGTGGAAAATTTTTCGGGCCCCAAAAGTAGTGCGGGGGCAGTTCTAAATATGCCATAAACCCATTCAAAAAAAAACCCCCAAATTGCAAAAAAGTGTTACTATTTTTCTTTTTATATTTCCCTTATTGTAACCTATTAAGACATGAGGTGTATGCATTTTTAAAAGGTAAAAACAATGGATAAAGAAAGTGCTCTTCAAAATCCAAAATAGAAAAAAAGCAAACAATCAAACAAATGAAAAAGAAATGTGATATTCCACAAGAAGAAATGAAAACAAAATAAGCTCCATGCAAATTGAAGACAACAATGATTGTATTGATGAGATACCCACCTGTGCTGCGTCCCTCCATTCTAACCATAACGTCTGTTAGTGCATGAAATAAATATTAGGACGGTGATAACTCACTGGTCAAGATATTGTACTTTAGACATACATGCAGCTCATGTTCGGCCATAGAAAAAAGTATATGTTTTTGCTTAGATATTTAATATAATTGATTATAATTTAATGTTGTTTTTCATATATATCATGCCCCTCCCAAATATATAATGAAATTCACAAAAAGCATTTTATTTGTAAAATAAATAAAGAAAAGAAAAATTTGCCTTTGTATAAAATATACACCGCTTGCCACTCGGAGAAGGGTATATAACATTTTCAAATATAACAAATTGTTCTTTTTTAAAACTTTTCTGACAAATGAAAACTGAATAGTTTAAGCAAAAGCACAACATATTTTCTATCAGTCATGAGTTGCATGCACTTCTAAGGTACAATATGTTTAACCATGTGATGATAATCACATAGTGGTCAATTTAAAACAAACAAACAAGCTTTGTGAGAAAGAAAAAAATAGAGTCTAGAATCTGAAAGCCATTTTACTGACACTATTAATGTTAGATAATCATTATTGAAGAAAAAAACAAACATTTGGAAAAAAGAAGAAGCTTTCCAAACAAATCATAGCCATTCTGTTTTAGCAGCAAATTAAATCAAAATAGAGCACACTGTGAAGAAGCCTCTTTAGACTTGTTTGGCAATTGGCAATTAGCACTTTCCATCTATAATATCAGTGACAATTATTTTGCAGTATCCACCTTTTTGTAATAAAATGGTCAATAAGTTGAGCGACATAATGTGTTCAGTTGGAAGGCATACAAAGTTATACCATAATACTATTACCTTTTAACATGACACAACTTTATAAATTGTGTTCACTTACGAGCATTATGTAATAGTAAAACAAAATGCATAGTATCTGTATAAAGCAAAATGGTGTAATTCAAGACAAAAGCAATGTTAAATCCTTTTATTCATTAACCTTTTAAATCTGCTAGAACTGAAAGAGATCAGCCTTTGCTGACCAGTAAAGAGCCAGGCCAGCCTGTACGTCAGTGCATTCTGACCATGAGGCTCTATACTATTGGTAGCTAAAATTTTTGTATTTTGAAATTGAAAGCCATTTAAAAACATATTATGATTCAACACAGGATAAGGCCACAACATAAATTCAGCAAGGCTAATGTTACCTGATGTATCTTTTGGATGGGGGACCGCGCCGAAAAAGTGCTCACTTTTTTAAGCAACATTTCTCAAACGAAAACATGTGTTTGGGGCCAAAATAGGACATTTTTTCACTATTTGAGGCCTGAAAGAGGGGGAGGGGGGGTCGAGAGTGCGTTGTTTCACATATATATGAGGTAAATGGTTAAAGTAAAAGTTTACGGACAGACGCCCATAAAAGCTCACCATGGTCACCAGGTGAGCTAAAAAGTATTATCACCAGGTGAGCTAAAAAGTATTATTTTTTTTGTAAAGTATTACAAAAATGGTACAGGAATGCCATTATGGATCTTTAAAGTTTAAGAACATGTTGTTAAGGTATACTTCAAAAAAAAATTAAATATTCAAAAGTTACAGAAACTCAAGAAAAGGCACAATTTTGAAGAATCACATTTCATTTCTTTCTGAATAGCATTTTTATTATAACATTAAATTAAATCAAAATGTTACTCAATTCATGAAGATATACATAGCACAATGAAGGCTTTAAGTGTCATATCACACTTTGTCAGCAGATTCAAATATCAGCATTATATATTCATTAAATCTTTTTTTGACGGCTATATATTTATAACTAGATCTATTTAAAGTTTGTTAAAATATAATATCATCATTATAACCTCTATGCCACAGCCTTTCAACCGTACAGATCCCAACCTGTTACCGATGAAAAGATATATCAATATTGTACTAGTTTTTAAACTCCTTAATATACCACTGAAATGGTACAATTTGTGAAAATGTAAAAAAATACTGAAATAATGAAATAAGAAACCAACTAATGATTGGGAGGCAATGCTTCAGATATATAATACAATATGTAATGGTTTAGTGCTATACAGATTTATCTACTTCTGTAATGCATTATTACATAGGTTTTTTCTGTTCTGCAACCAGTCCACAAAAATTATGTTAACACATAACCCTGATTAAATATCAATTTAATGATTATAATTACTTTTTTTTCCAGGTGAGCTTAAATAGGTCAAAGTGTAGGTGGGAGAAGACTTGATGACATACTGGTTATTAAATTAAACAATATTTATCTAAGCTAATTGTGGAGAAAGATAGCAGCTTATCTGAACCAGTCATTGTCTGCACTTGCTACAACTACATGTGAGGAAACATGCTCAATGTAACCCAAGTAACCGGCTTGAACTTACTACCTTAATTTTGAAAGGCAGACACCTTAACCCATATGCCATAGCTCCTCTTATAAGGTTTACTATTCTCTGAATGGTTTCATAGATAATGACTCATATTTGCCACCAGTATTAAAAGCCAAGCCAGCCTTCTCATCTTGTTTTTATTATAACAATGTCTGAATTTACTTTTTTAAAGTCACCAAGCAATCATCTCTTAACCAAAACTTCATGTGTCCTGTGGTGTTCATAAAAACATGTTTTACTGTAAATTGTAAGCAAGTAAAATATGTCTCCTTTACGGATTTTACTTTTTATCTATTGTGAGGCTAGTATACTGACCTCCTTTAATTTAGCTATCACCTCTCAATCAAAACTTTATGTGTCCAGTGGGGTTCGTAAAAAACATGTTTTACTGTAAATTATAAAAATATTCTATCTCTAAGCAAGTAAAATATGTCACCTGTACCATTTTTACTTTCAATCTATTGCTAGGCTAGTATACTGACCTCCTTTAATTTGGCGAGCTCCGCGTTGAACGAAAACCCGTTGGAATCTGAGAGACTGGGCGTCCTGGGTATATGAGAATGCTTATGTTCACAGTCTATCTTAAACTTACGGAGGTCTTCTAACTCCTTCTGTAACTCATCTAACAACTGAAATAATAAGAAATGACATGAAATATGGAGAATATTGTGAAATAAAGCAAATCATTTAAAATATAAGGAAAAATCTAAAATACATTGGATATATTTTGACTTTTTTGTTAATATAGATAATTGAATAATTTAAAATAGTACAGGATATGATCAACTCAGAATGTCTGGCATTGAGTGAGAACTTTATCATCCAACTAATGACAATCCCTGCTGGGTTTGGTTTTTACCAATGCAGGGGAGTTAATAATTCAAGGATGAAGGCAACGTTTTATGCCTACCTAGTGCATAAGTACTTGAGAAGTTCATCATCAAATGTCTTACTAAAAATTCAATTATCTTAAAACATATAACGTCCAATTTAAGTAAAACTTTTAAGACAAGAGGGCCATGATGGCCCTGAGGTCGCTCACCTGTATATAGGCCCCCCCCCAATGTTGCAGGGCCAATTTAACCCAAGGGCTTTTATTTGCACAAACTTGGTAGACACCCATAAGAAGATGTTTCATGCTAAACATCTAAGCTCTAGCTCATTGGGCTTTAAAAGAAGATTTTTTTGAAGTTTTTAATATACACATATAGTTAAAAACAATGACACCCCTGGGGCCGGGCCAGTTTTGACCCCAGGGCTTTTATTTGAACAAACTTTGTAGACATTTACTAGAAGATGTTTCATGCTTAATATCTAAACTCTAGCTATTTGAGTTTTTTCAAAGAAGATTTTAAGTTTTTGCTATACACATATAAAGAAAATCAATGCCCCCGGGGCGGGGCCAATTTTGACCCCAGGTCTTTTATTTAAACAAACTTTGTAGACACTCACTAAAAGATGTTTCATGCTTAATATCTTAACTCTAGCTATTTGGGTTTTTTCAAAGAAGATTTTTTAAGTTTTTGCTATACACATATAAGGAAAATCAATGACTCCCGGGGCGGTGCCAATTTTGACCCCAGGGCTTTTATTTGAACAACTTGGTAGACACCTATTAGAACATGTTTGATGCTAAATATCTTAGCCATAGCTCTTTGAGTTCTTTAAAAGAAGATTTTTTAAGTTTTTATTATATGCATATAGGGAAAATCAATGACCCCCGGGGCGGGGCCAATTTTGACCCCAGGGCTTTTATTTGAACAAACTTGGTAGACACTTATTAGAACATGTTTCATGCTAAATATCTTAGCTCTAACTCTTTGAGTTCTTTAAAAGAAGATTTTTAAGTTTTTACTATATGCATAAAGGGAAAATCAATAACCCCCCGGGGCGGGGCCAATTTTGACCCCAGTGTTTTTATTTGAACAAACTTGGTAGACACCTATTAGAACATGTTTCATGCTAAATATCTTAGCTCTAGCTCTTTGGGTTCTTTAAAAGAAGATTTTTTAAGTTTTTACTATATGCATATAGGGAAAATCAATGACCCCCCGGGGCGGGGCCAATTTTGACCCCAGGGCTTTTATTTGAACAAACTTGGTAGACACTCACTAGAAGATACTTCATGCCAAATATCTAAGCTCTAGCTCTTATGGTTTTTTAAAAGAAGATATTTAAAGTTTTTTCTTTCGGTTGCCATGGCAACCAGAGTTCTGCATGGAATTAAATTCTTTGAACAATTTTTAAAGGTGACCACCAAAGGAACATTCCTGTGAAGTTTGGATGAAATTGGCTTAGTGGTTTATGAGGAGATGTCATTTAAAGAAAAAGTTTACGGACGACGGACGGACGGACGATGGACGGACGGACGCCGGACGAAAAGCGATCACAAAAGCTCACCCTGTCACTTTGTGACAGGTGAGCTAAAAAAGTAAAAAACCTTTCAAATTAAAATTGCACGTTTTTCTACAAGACATGTCACAATTTCAGAGTATTTAACATTAAAATAAAAAAATTTCATTAATAAAAACTTTACAGGCACTTCTATTCTACCTTATTCATGTGAGACTCTACTCACATAAAAAAAGTTTTTCAACTTCATGAATCTAGGAATGTCAGATTTCATCATTTTGCAAAACAAGATATTTATCTGAACTGCAATTTTCCCATGCACAGTAAACTGTAAACAGTATAAACATCATTCTTAAATGTACCATCATCGCCTTAATACGAGAACACTGTATCCCCACCTAAACTTACAAACAGATACAAGTGTACCGTGTCACGACAATATTATTGCGAAGGTTAGAAGAGATCATCTAAATTTTGCAATTATGTTTACAAATTGCATGTGAGACTAATTTATGCAAATGTTCATGCATTTTATTACAAAGATTAAAGCCTTCAAAAAGCAACTTGTATCAGCTCATGACGAGAACTTAAAATATTTAATTATCCATTGCAATGTTTATTCGAAATGAGAAATAAATATTTTAACCATAATAAATACATGTAATACTGCCTATCAATATTTGATTTGCATTCATCAAAAGAGTATTTGAAATTTATACAAAAACCGAAAATACAAAAAATTAAATTATAAAATACAAGTTTAAAATGATACAGTAAAAAGCTCTGAGCATCTATATATTTTAATACTAGCAGTTTAGATTTTGACAATTTTAAAGTAAATAGTCAATCAGATAGTAATACTAATATTGTAAACAGTTCAATTCTAACATACAGGAATTCATTCAAAGCAATTAAACCAGACAACAGAAACCCGAAACTCCCACCATTATTAACTTAATATCAAAGGGACACAACTCTAAAATTCATATCTACAAAGGGTAACTACTATTTAAAGATATAATCTTATAATTATAAAGGGGAACAACTTGAAGCAATTTTTTCTCTCAGAATTTTGAGTTTCCAAAATAAGCACTATATACAGCTATTAAGGCATTATATGCCAATATAAAGAAGCTATGATTTCAGAACATCCACTTCTAATATCATTCAAGTATCTTTTCTATTTCAAAGTGCAAGAAATTGATGAAGGAACATCAAGAAAGATTAGACCATCTAACTACCATTATCTTTAAAACTATATCTAAAAGCTCTTTGTACTATATCTTATTTCCATGCTACATTTTTGTATTTAGTTTCATCTAGTATTTCTTCAATTTTTCCAATCACTAGTCTCTTTGCAAATTGGTCCACAAACTTTGAGGACTTATTATTGGACTTATATTTGGTAACATTTAAATGATGTGCATTTTTGAAGAAAAATATATAATAATTATAGGGCTCTAAAATTGTGACTTTTTTTATGAAGTTTTAAAAATATTTATCCCCTTAGACATGAAGAAAAATAACAACAGAATATATGATGTTTGACAAAGAAGACAGAGAAAAAAGGTTCAGGCATTGCAAAATGTATGTTCACATAAGAATTCAATACTGAATTGTGTGTAACTGTAAAAATGTCCATCAATATATAATATGGTTCACACAAAAAAAAATCTAGTCCCTTCATGCCATGCAAATTCACTCCTTTTAAAACTTTGGATGATGTAGAAGATCAGATTTAGGTAACACATATTCAGCGACATTATGCAAATCATTGCTTTCTATTTACTTACATTTTTTTATATTACATTTGAGCACAAATCATTTTATTATATTGAAATTGGCTATATCTGATCACGTTTCAATGTCAAGTTTGCTCATTAACATTCAAATACAGTACCCTCTAGTTTCCAAATGGCATAAAAAATACAAGAACAAATATGAGCCGTGTCACGACAAAACCAACATAATGGGTTTGCAACCAGCATGGATCCAGACCAGCCTGCGCATCCGTGTAGTCTGATCAGGATCCATGCTGTTCCCTTACAAAACCTATAACAAGTAGAGAAACTGATAGCGAACAGCATGGATCCTGATCAGACTACGCGGATGCACAGGCTGGTCTGGATCCATGCTGGACGCAAACCCATTATGTTGATTTTGTCGTGACGCGGCTCAATTATTTGCACTCTATATAAATGCATGATGGGGATGAATAAGGAAGACTAAAATAACCAATGAACTGCTGGAAACAAGTTTGTGTGAAGTATGACATACCCATATTGCTATAAAAGTGTGAAATTTAGTATTTCCATATCTCCAAATATCTTTAGAAATTTACAAGAGACTTTTCTATTAAAAGCAGTGCACTTTATTTGAATGACAGAAAATCAGGCAAAAAAGCGATACATTAACAAAATGATATTTGTGAAAGATGTATATGATAATTGTAATATTTACAAAGTGGGATAAAAGTACAACATCTATGTAATATATTCAACAAAAGCCCCCACACGCCACTGTTTTGTCAATCTTATGACCCCAGGTCAAATATTTTTTGGACTACATGTGCCACCGGTTGAAAACTTAAAATCAACAAAGGGCCATAATTCTGTTAAATTTGGTCGCAGCAAAAATTCCTTCCTTTACTTCCATCTACACATTAACGTTGTTCATCCCTGGAAGTTTAAGCAAGATCTGCCATCCGGTTTAAGAGGAGTTGCGTTCACAAAATTTCTACATAGTATATAGTGAAAAAATCAACAAAGGGCCATAATTCTGTTAAATTTGGTCGCAGCAAAAATTCCTTCCTTTACTACCATCTACACATTAAGGTTGTTCATCCCTGAAAGTTTAAGCAAAATCTGCCATCCGGTTTAAGAGGAGTTGCGTTCACAAGATTTCGGGACAAGATTTCTGACAAGTGCAACGCTATATGCTCCCACTTTGTGGGGGCATAAAAACTAAAGGTTAAGGGCTTCTAACTTACTGTTGAAGGATTAAGGGCCTCAGACATACTGCTCCAGGGTTAAGGGCCTCAAGTCAATTGTTGAATGGTTAAGGGCCTAAAAACTTGTGTTCAAGGGTTAAGGGTCTCAAACCCGATGTTGAATGGATAAGGGCCTCAAACCCACTATTGAATGGTTAAGGGGCCCAAACCTAGTGTTCCAGGGTTAAGGGTCTCAAACCCACTGTTGAAGGGTGGAGGGCCTCAAGCCAGCTGTTGAATGGTTAAGGCCCTCAAACCCACTGTTGAAGAGAACATGGTCTCAAACCTGTAACAGTGGGTTTGAGGCCTTTAGCCCTGGAACAGTGGCTATGAGGTCCTCAACCATGGAATAATGGGTTTGAGGCCCTTAGCCAGGGAACAATGGGTATGAGGCCCTCTTCCCTCAAACATAGGGCATGAGGCCCTCGACCCTTGAATACTAGGTTTTAGAATTAATTAAGCAACAGCTCTGTTTTCTCAAAAAAAAGCAGACTAAAAACTTATTGATTCAGTGATAGATGAATTATAAAAAAAAATCTTAAAACATTCATCAATAACTATACATAAAATCATCTAGAAGAGAAACCAAAAACTATGTAAAATGTGATAACTAGTTGTAAAAGCCATTCCATATAAGTTGTGAACAATTGAAATTATAAAAGATAACAAAACACAGCTTAATTATATAAGAAAAACTGAGAACAAAAGAAACTAAGTATTTCAGAAAAAAGCCACTATCTGATAGATTCACAAACAAGTACCTTTCCCGATGTTTTCTGGTGATAAAAAACATAAAACAAACATTCATGACAAAAGCAGGCAAAACAAAGTAAGGGTGAATGATTTTGTTTTCAAACTAACATCTAGCAAAATTGACAACATAAATAAAACAGGATATTATATAAAGCATTGGTCTGAATTGTTGAATTGTAGTGGAACATGTAACTGTACTGTATGCCAATATCACTTGTATATAACATGGTCGGCCTGTATGATTCAGCGCAATTTGGCCATATTCTAAACTGTTGACTGCTTAGTTACTAATCCTTTACCTGCTGGAACCAAAAGTGATTTGTGTTTGCCAACAGTATAGTGCCAGCCAAATCTGCACAATGGTGCAGTCTGACCTTGCTCTGCACTGTAAGTTGCTCAATTTTTGTATCTTCATATTGAAACCCTTCAAAAGAATTTGGACTGTTCCAAATTCAAAGCAAGGCAAATTCATTACACAGGTTCAGCAGATAGAGAGCGAAAGTACATATTCAACCATACTGTTTCAGATTTACATTTTAAGCTGGGTGAGTGATAAATTAGTTCAAGTTATAAACATGTGGAAAAAATTCCTTAAAATTATTCATTTTAAATAAAACATTCAATTGAAGTATTCATAACTAGTGAAATGATGATATATTTACCATAAATGCACTTAACCTGCTGAAACTGAAAGTGATTAGCATTTTCAACCAGTATAGAGCCAGGCCAGCCTGCACAAGCTGACCAGGCTCTATATACTTGTTGGCCGACCATCTTTGTGAATTTTTCTATACTGGTTGCAAAAACTAATCATTTCCAATTTCAGCGGAGAAAAGGTTAAAATAAACCATACAAAGATAAGAATTCTTGCAATTATGTTTCTCTGTGTATTAAGATATTGCATCAGCTTGAGAATCCTGGGCATTTGGTGTCAAAGTATAACTATTACAGGTACAAAATACCAAATTAGCAAGGAAAATTTTTGAAAGCAACACATGCAAAGATATATAAAAAATCAAAATTGCCCGAAATACTCACATTTCCTGTAATTTCTTGTTCTCTGTCAAATTTTGACATTACTTCGTTGTATTCTGCCGAAACTTTATTAAAATCTTCCTCCATTGCTGCTAATCTATCGGATACTTCCATTTTATCCTGAAATACGTAAACATCATCTTCATGGCCAATGAATATTTGAAGAAATAGCATTGTTTTATACAACTGTCAATGTAACTATAATCAAGATTGTAAGTAAACATGATTGTGGTACATATAATGTGAATATACATAGAACAGCACTGTAGCCTTCAGTTGTACTATTAATTACTAATTAATTATTTTTTTCATTTTTTGTTTTAGGTTCAACTCTTGATATTTAGAAGACAACTTATGAATCTAGTAGCTCTGGTTTTTGCACCAATTTGATCTTCGCAAGTAACCCGTAATCCTTTGTTTCTGGTCTTGAGTTACAGTCAGTCAAGGTCTTATAACAACTTTCATGCAGTTTTGGTAAAATAGTTCCTACAGACACTGTTAAAGTCACATTTAAAAATTTTCACACATTCTTGGCAGAGAAATTTCTCATGTTTAGAAGGACTTTCATCAATTATAAGACAATCTTAAACCTCTGATGTATTTTTGAGTGGCAACTAGAAATAGCTGACTACATAGAACTGAGTCTTACCATTCTTAACCTATCATTTTCATTCTTTAACCGTACAACATCTGTTTTGAGACGTTCATTTTCTGTTTCAAATGTTTGTAACCTCAATGTCAGGTAATCCATTTTCTCGTTCTCAATGCCATGTTTGTTCTGAAATAGTACAATAGTGTGATATAGTTACTTTCTACTGAATATACAGGTAAATATTTGGATATATTTTCAGAATCACGTAAAGCAAGTGTAGGAATAAACACCCAAAGAAAATATATAAATCATTTACATGTAATTTATAAAAACAATAATCTTTCCAGCAAAAAAAATCCACAAACCCCCTCTATGACCAATGTATTTTGATTATGGTAGAAGGGAGACAATCCTACAACCAAAATGCATTATTTGCAAGAGTTGTTTCCCTTTACTTTATAAGTTTTATAGATTATTAAACATTTGAATGAGTCTCAATTATTTCATTACAAACATAATGCTTTTTATTATGAAATATTGTTTTTTTCTAGGCAGTACACTTAAGTGAAATTAACATGTTTAACTATGCCATTATCAATATTTATAGTTACTAGTCATTATAAATATAGAACTTACCACCATCTCCTGATATTTTCTCTGTTCTTCTCTCACCCTATCATCTGACTTACACTCCATGTCCTTGAGCTGTTCCTCCATAGTGTGGATTCTGTAATTATATACCCGGCTATTATCATATACGTTCTCATATAATTATATATAAAATAATACATTATTTCACACAATTTCGGGCTACATAATACTGATATTCATTAAATGGATGTATGCATTACAGAATGTCTCGCCTTAACCTATAATTATATGTCTGATTTTGTATTTGAATATTTTTTTCTTCTTCTTTAAATGCACACCATAAAAACTTGATTTTAAAATTAACTATGACTTAACTTTTTGTTGATTTTTTTGTCACTAATAATCTTTCTCAGGGTTTGTAAAATACATGTATACATCTGTAATGCCAACGTTATTATATGACAATGGCTCAAATATTTTGGATTTCCCCCCTCATTTATTGCAGCACAGAAATGATTATCAGTAACAAATTATAATACCGTGTACTTTGATTTCATTAAGCAACATAAGAAAGATGCAATAGATGCCATTATCTTATCAATACAATTATCTGGTTCAAACAACTGTCTACAATATATGTTATTTTCTAAGCATCAAGATCAGATATTATGCTGAAGAATAATATAATTAATATGCATGTTTATTATAACATAAATTATATGATATTATGAAAGATTCTGTGGTATTAGCATTGTAGTATTAAACAGCATTCTATGAGAAATGGTAGCAGAATCTGATGAGCTTCACTTTAATTTCTTTATGTTGCCTACAGAAGGTTATGAAAACCCTTCTATAAATATTTCTATTGATACTTGTAAGCATAAAATATTGTCTGGTACCAAAATTTTTTTTGCATAGTTTGTCAAGTTTTCATTAAAATTCATACATCAGTCTGTAGCTAATTATAGTATAAACTAGAGCCACATATATAAAAGTACAAACTGAACTATTGTGCATTAACTTCCTCAATATTCAGGCTAAAATAGTGCACATCATGCAAACTGATACATATAACATAATGGCACACAATCTTTGCCCAAGTGTATGGCTTCGAAATAGAATAATCACAAGTTTTCATAATTTTTGGGGATGATTTTGGGGAATCTTACTTAACAAAGAAGCATCAGTGGCAGAGTGCTAATGTCTTCAAACCACTTGTTATATTCACCATTGTTGGTTTGAATCCCAACAGGGACTTTGAATCCTTTCATGAGACTTTGGGTGGTTAAATCACATCAGAGGCCATTACATTACTTCCTTGTTTACAAGTGGAGCACAAATGAGAATCAGAGAACAACCAACAACCTTTTACACACTAGCTAGATAGCTTTCTAAATTGTAAAGATACAAAGTCCCTGGAAGAATTCAAAACACCACATCAGTGAGTGGCAAGTGATTCCAAGATGGGGATCTCAACCACTAGGCTCCTGCTAGTAAGACTTTAGATTCAGTTTCTATATCAAAATAAGAATTTCAAAATGTTTACAGAAATGTGACAAACTGTAGATTAATGTGGCAAATATGTTTCTAAAGATGCTGAAAATATGAAAGAAATGACTATGTCTATATAAAAATACGGATCCACAGCAAATACACACCAAACACCAGTTACATAATGTTGATAGAGCTTTGTCCTGTACATAATAGTCAGGTATAGTAACTTTAATTACTTCAAGATTATAACATAAATTATATAATACAGTTAACCTTCGGCTAGTACATATACATGTAATAAATACATGTAATATGTAATATGCTTGTTTTCAGAAACAATACATTTATCAAACAGATATGGCAGATTAGAACAAACCTTGTATGAATATTCATCATTTAAGATAACAATATACTGTAACTTAATCAACAATAACAAAACTGAACCAAATATCAGACATAAGACACAATAGGCATTGTATCACATTGTATAATTATTTTCAAAGTTGATTATCTTCTTATCTGTATCTAATTGTTTTGATGAACTTTAAAGAAAGAAATTGATATCAAATCTTAATATAACAATAATATACATGTATGTGAAATTAAAAATACAATGCAAGTTAATGTACTTAAGTTGGCAAAGCTCTTTCAACAGAAAATAGTACAATACACAATATAAAGCCTGAAAGTAGATGGAGAAATAAAAAAACAAGATCAAGGATATTGTCAGGCAAATAAATGCTAAATGAAGAAATAAATCTTGATATAATTTACCATGACATGCCACATTCAGTCAATTATTTTCTTAAATTTTCAACATTATCAACAATGTATTTCTCTCAAGATAATAAAACATTAAACTACAAAATTGAGCTAGGCCATTTCCTTGGATTATGTTTTGAAAGTCATCATTTTAGACACTGGCTGTTGCTTATTAGGCTATAGCTTAGATTAGGATTTGGTGATGTGGCAAAGCAGTTTACATATCAGACTAGTAATTTAAGGACTGCTGGCCACATGGGTTCCTTCCACATCAGACTGATCAGCAACGCATTGTAACCTTCCAACTTTAGACTCATTGCTATGAACTGGTTAGTTCCGGGAACAGATTTAAAGCTGTGGCTATAAGGTTATAGCGTCCTACTAAATAGATATTAACAATAAATTCTTTAATACTATAAACTAACATAACTTTAATAATTAAAGAAAGTAAAACAATAATGAAATAATGATATCCATTTAAACTAATGATAAACGATAAAAGATAAAAGTATAGAAGAAGAAAACTACCACCATGTGCTATTATAATCACACCAAGCTTTGACACTTACCTGTCTACAACACTGTTATAATGGTCAAACAAATCAAAACATTATTATTATACATGTACACTTCTAAAATATCTTTTACTTTACCTCCATCTCGAAAAACAACAACAACATAATCAACATATGCTTGGACTTGAATATACCACTTGTTCAAGAAAAATAATTCACAGATGCAAGAGACTTGCAATATTTTCAAGGATAACAAAAAAAATCTAATCACTGGAGGCTATGAATCTATTTCATATGATTTCATATCTTTTCAATCCAGGAAGGAAATGATTCGAGATTATATGTTGTTTTTTTTTTTATTATAAAGTACGGTATTCATTTCTCTATCAGACATTTCCATTATCTTTGGAGAAAGTGGTAAATTACAAGTCACCTATCATACAAAATATGTTTTGCCAAGAAGACTTCCTTGATGAAAAATTCTAACTAAAGTTGTATAATTACAATTCATATGACATATGTATCTTTTAGATGTTTTGTAACAGTCTGTATAAAGGAAAAACCAAAAATATCTCTTAACTGCTAGAACCAAGTGATTTTCCTTTGACACCTGAGTATAGAGCCAGGTCAGCCTATACAGCCCTGCAGTCTGACCAGGCTCTATATTGTTGGCTAACTTTAAAATTTACATCTTGATATCCCCTAAATTGATAATGGACAATTCTAAAAATTGAAGCTGGACAAGTCCATTTCTGCAGATAAAGGGATATATCACACTCATCTAAGAACAAATTTCCCTACATTTCTCTTCCCTGACTGTCTTCCCGATTATCCGTTTAATGGTATTTCTCAGATTGGTTTTTTAATTTAAAATTACATTCCTTGTCAGAATATTAAATATATATAGAACTATAATACCTAAAACCATATTTATTACTCTTATGTCCCAAGACCAGTCTATATTTAGCTGCAATTTTGCAGTAATTTATCTCTAGTGTGGCATTTAACATAGCATCATGTGGTATTTCTGTCTGGTTTTAGGTGCATATGAGAATACTGTTTCATAATTTTTACAATAAATAATTTTCACGAATAAGACAACAATCAATAATTATATCTTATTTTAATCTTTACCCTGATAAATCTTGCAATGAACTTGGTCACACTTTTGATTTTAGAGCTGTTCATTAATAACTTTAAACAAAAATACCCAAATGCTATAAATAACCCATAACCTGCAGAACTTCTATTAATGGACCCTTCCAGCTACAATTTTTGGAACAATCCATTATTAGTTTGAGACACATGTATATCAAGATGAAAATTTTAAGTTGGTCAGCCATCAGTATAAAGCATGGTCAGACTGCATCCATGTACAGACTGGCCTAGTTAAGGGTTAGCCAAGTCTGGTCTGCAATCTGGTATGGTCTTCATTGAGACAAGTACTCCAAAATCAGAGGGTTTTGTAGATGAGTTTATTAAGCAGTTTACCAATAACAGAATTTTTCTTTTTTTTTTGGAAGAAAATTTAAAGACTAAGAAGTCTTCCCTTTAACAACAGGACAATGTAATAAAAATTCAGCAAAGATTCTTTCATATGACTGTGAAATACAGATTCCCTCATCTGTAACATGTATTTCTTTTAATTCTTTATTTCCAAACAATGCAGATGTCACAAAAAAAATCTTCTTTTTTTTATTAACTGAAAATGTTTACTTTTTTACAACAAACCTATAGGACTGCCTCCATAGAATAACAAAAAACAAACAAAATATCTTATTTTTTGGAATAGGGGAAACTGGGATGAGGGATAGATGATGATGTTTTTAGTAATAGATATATATGACTTTAGATATAAATATCTATCAATTTTGATGTTTTCTTTAAATACCATTATATTTTTATGTCATAAAAAAATTAAACCAAATATTGATAATATAAATAAGGAACTTGAAAAGAAATATAGGTTCTTTCACATGGACATAATTTAAACACTCTCAAAATATCAACACATATATATAACATAACCAACTCACTTCAGCTCAAACCAAAAATACTGCAAACAACTTTACATTAATTTAAATAACCTGAAACATTTTGCTTATATACTAATATTGCAAAATCTCCATACAACCTTTGTTATCTTCACAAAGTTTTAAAATCTACCCATTATGTTAAAACCTTCTTCTAATATTTTTGTCAATACAAAAAAGTTATATAAACTTCGGACAGAACCTCTTAATATTCCTTTTTTTATAAAGCACATAATAAAAAGACAATTTTTTGTTTCAGAAGCATTACCTTTTAATAAGAATACTGTTTTCATCTTTGTAGCGTATTTTTACCCCATCTTCTTTTGACCTATCATCATTTACTTTGACTAGTTGTTTTTCTAAGGATTTTATCTGTAAAATAACACTTTTTTATACAGTAAGGGAGTTAATTCTTGAACAGACAATTTACAAATTTAACAAAGTTGTATCCCTTTAATTAAACAACAGTTGCATATAAACAATACCTTACAGACATTTTCAATTTATTTTCAATGAACAAAATTAAATGCCATATGTGATGCTTTATCAGATATTAAGAAAAAAAAACAACAACATAAAATCACAGCTCAAATTATATTTTTCAAATCTGATTTAATCTTTACATAGCAAGAAAACAATGAATAACAAGACTATTCATAATGCTTCGAAACAAATACAAGAAGAATATCCATCATCAGTATTTTTCAAGATTGTTAAATTAGTTATTCACTTCATCTGAAATCTTGAAAAAATAATAATAATAAAGAAAGAATATGATAATATTTACCCTATCGGTGAGTTCTTGAAAGCTACCATCTATATCGTCATATATATCCTCATTTGCATTTGGACTTCTTAAACCTCTCGCTAATTGACTGAAATCATAATTGTACATCCATTGTTCAACCACGTTTATATGATAACTTAATTAGTGACATTTATATTAAAATGAAGTGCAGGGAATAAATTATAATAATATGATTATGTAATCAAATAAGACGGATTTTTGATTTTCTTGGCATTGTTAAAGAAGTCAAGAATACAGGAATAAGAGGAGGTGCTGGGGTTTGGGAGACAAATTTTTCATGAAGTTTCCATGCCCCTTTACAAAGGAGATGTGAAAATTAATGACCTCTAAAAGCTTTATTTAAGGAGCAAAGTGGCACCTATTATTGTTTAAACATGTATAATATTATACATCACTGATGGGAATGTTTCACCTTTGAAAATCAGTGGAACAAAATAAACAAGAGCTGTCGGTAGGACAGCAACGCTCGACTATTCTTAGTGCTTGATAGTAAAAAAAATGCTTGATACAGTTACCTCCTCCTGTTTACAGGTTGGGGTCATGATGGTGAACAAGTGTGCAAAGTTTTAAAGCCATATGTCAATGGACTTTGAAAATAATTGAACTATTACAAAATCTTTAACGTAAATTCTAAGTCGAAAAAGGGGCATTATTCTGTCAAAATGCTTGATAGAGTTACCTCCTCCTGTTTACAGGTTGGGGTCATGATGGTGAACAAGTGTGCAAAGTTTCAAAGCCATATGTCAATGGACTTTGAAAATATTTGAACTATTAACAAAAAACTTTAACATAAGTGGTTACGCGGACGCGGACGCGGACGCTCAGGTGACTGCAATAGGTCTACTTATTCTTATCGAAAAGTCGAGCTAAAAATTCTTGTGAGTTCATGCTCCTAATCTAGACCCACCCCCTAGAAGTTGGCCTACACATAATTTGAACCCAGCTTATTATGCCCTTGCTAGGTTAGCCTGCACAGACAAGCAAGCTGGCCTGGCATTAGCCTACATATTGAGCCCTGTTCAATAAAGAAGGTTAACAAAAGAAAGTAAGACCCCCTGAAAAAAATTCTATTACCCATATTGCTTTATTAGTCTTTATAGAATTAATAGAAGTACAAGCATGAGTGTTATGCTCAAAAGGTAAACCAACAAGATCATGTTATCTGACATGGCAATTACAACTATCCATATTGCCTTGAAATTTAATAGTATGCAAGTCATTTTAAATTTTCTCACACTGTTAATGTTGATTCTTTTTTTGGTTTGAAAAGATAACTCATTCATAAAATACATTAATGGGCAAGATAAATTTGAAAATTGTAAAGTTTAAATTTTGTGTTTTGGGTGTTTCCTGATTTAGATATACACATGAAAATCACTGTGTCACGAATATTAATTTGGAGGGACAGAAAAGTGTTAAATCATTATTCTGAATCAATACATCATAGTTATATTTTCATAACTGACCAGTTAAATCAACATAAAAAAGATAATTTGACATTTATTATAACAGGTTATAAATCTTCTACTCATTAACTCTTGTGACATTTATTGCATTTATTTGTGTTCTGACATTATTAGTTTTGACATTATTTATTTCCCTTGTAATTCTATAAAGACTAATATAGCAATAGGTAATAGCAGTAATTTTTTTCCAGGGACTCCAAGTTGTTTTGGTAACCATTTTCATTGAACATGGCTCAAAATCAAAATTAAATGTATTCAAATGTAAATAAAGGAATTCCCTTAAACATTTTAGCATCTATCATTATATATGAAAATCATGTTATCAAGGGATGAAAGCATTTCAATATCAAACTTTCAGCAGTGTCTATATCTGACCATTGTTTGACCTTGAATAAGTGTGAGCATGACCTTGAATACAAGTATAACCTTGACCTTGAATAAAAGTATAACCTTGAACTTGAATAAAAGGAATCCCCATACCTGTGCAAAATAGCATCTTATTACGGTTATCAATGGAACTAAAAGATACATGGAAACATTTCCAAGGCTAACTAATTTATGCAAGTACAGGTAAGGAAATTGAAATAACAAAGCCTTGTTGTTTTTACATTGAATTAAGTTTCCATGCAAAAGTGTTAAAGAACTGACATAAAATCACAGAAAAACTATTAAGCATAACCAGTAAACAAGTATTTTAGTGTCAGATTACAATTTTTAACTTAAGTAAATCCCCTAAACTAATTTACTTGAAGGAAGTCCTCTCTGCACTGTGGTTAAAGACCAACTTTGTTTACATTAAGCCACAAAATGTGCTTAATTGAAGGAAATTGTCCTTTGAAATTTGAACACTCTAAAGGAAGTTGTTGGGAGTGTATGAAAGACATAAATGTATTAACCCTTTACCTAGTGATTAGCCTTTGCCACCAGTGACAGAGCCCAGGAAAGCTATGTGCATGGTCAGGCTCTAGTATATGTAAGTGTGGGTAAACAATTTTTTGTATACTGTTAACCCTTAAACTTTTAATTGACTATTCCAAATTCAAAGCAGGGCAAGTTTATTACACAAATTCAGCAGGTTAAAGCCACTTCTACATTATTCACATGAAAAACTGTTTCTCATTTACACAGACTCATTACATAATATAAATGTAACAGACAAAGAAAAAACAAAATTTAATGAATAAACAACCTACCTAGCATATGCTGCAGACGATATTCTTCTGTTTGGTCTGAAATGATAGAATTAAAAATATTTCACTGCTTAACACCTTTTCATTGTCTGCAAGTGTGTGAGATAAATGCTGTAAGCAATTCTTATTTACTTAATCTTACTGCAACATGTATTATACTGCACTATGCAGCAACAATATATCGGACAAAATTTACAATTCAACCTGTTGCTTGAATAATAGAAGAAGTGTGGACTATATAATGTTTTATTTAAATATGGGTAAGGTGTAGCTTGTGGCTAGGGTGTTTGGCTCTCAACCCAGGGATCATGGGTTTGAGTCTGATTTGGGTCAAGACCATGTTTCCTTATGACATTAGCACTGTACAGCTTCCTCAAAATCAAGCTCTTATATGCATCTGAATAATCTGGAGTAATGAATAGGTGTCTTTACTGAGCTGACATTTATGAAATAAAAAAGGTCACAGATCAAATTGCACTCTAAACTGTTGTTTCACCCTAATTAAGTCTCAGTAAATTACTGTCCCTGCCCCGATAGAAATTCATTCTGATTGAAACCACTTCATTACTGCTGATTGTAAATCTATAGATGTCTCAATGAAAACAGACCATCATTTTTATATGCAACGATAAAAAAAACAAGACGCAGAATTCAATTGGGAGTTCGTATGCATGAGTTTTACCAATATATAAAACAACACCAAAAACACATCACTCCAAATCCATTAAGCTTTTTTTTTCATTATAAGGCCAGTAATGTACCATAACAGACAGACCAGAAAGTCATTCAGGAAAACTGTAGTTTGCCAATTTGGACTCTAACATTTCCCAAGAAAGTTTCTACAAAACATTTACTGAATAGTATGCCAAATCCAATTTGTGATCAACTTAAACAAGGCTAGAATTCAGTACAAAGACTAGAAATGTAATTTTCGCAGAAAACATCACTGAATTTACATAAAATTCCTATGAATGTTTAAGTGTGTTCTATTTAAAGTCTATACTTGTATAACAAAAAGTAACATGTGACTTACATGTGACTTAATTGTTCTGAGCAGAACATTCTCAAACATAATCATTGGCAAGTACAATTTGACAATGAAAACTCTGCAGGATTTCTTATTTTTTTAATCCCCAAAAACACACAGCGCAACAAAAAGAGCTAGTGTTTAAATTTTCTTTATATTAATATATCATTTTATTGATCAAAACTTTGTGACATAGTGACAGTGAGTGTAACTACTTGACCATATTACTACTTAGCCTCAACTAACAAAATATCTTACGTAATTCTTCAACCTACTGCTTGCACACATACCAAACATAAATTCCAAACATGTTATTTTGACTGATCATGAAAATGACAACATAGGAACAAATCCTTGGACATAAATACAAGGTAACAGGCATGAGAAAATATTTATGACACTTTAATGCCCTATTTTCCTTCTAAAGATGCATCAAACAGGTATAATTTAATTCATTATACACCCCTACAAAATTGCAGTAATAAATTTAAACATGGGAGTCAACGTTTTGTACCCGACTGAGTAATGGTATATCTTAATAGATTCTGTTATTGGAGATAGCATCATTCTATTCAGGTATATAATTTCGATGTATTAACACCCAGAAAAATGAGAATTTTGAACTTTTGTCAGTGATATCACAAAATCTACGTTTACTTGCTTCATCAACTTTAAACAAGAAATGAGAAAAATATAGAAAACAAATTTGTAAAACTGACGTCAAAAAAAGTATAAAAATAGAATTATTTTGAATGTCATGTTTATTAAATGGGGCAATTATATACATAATTTGTATAAACTATATATATACGAAGCTTTAATTATAAAACTGATTGGTATTCAATGACTGTAACGAAAAAAGTCATGATCTTTTTAAATGGCTTTGATGGTTTATCAATAAACTTACTGTTGACGCCGTCATATGACATTAACTGAACAATAAAAATCATTTAATGGTTTCATAACTTAAGTCATTCGATCATGTGTACCTATCTAATTAAAAGTCAAAATATGTTTATGTGTACTCAAACATTGCAAGGAAAAAACTTCTTTCTTTTCTTTTTTTAATTCATAATCTTATGAAGCAAATTATCAAATTCCAATCAGTCAGCAAGTACTCTAAATAAGGAACTTTGTTGAAGAGTGAATAACCTTGTGTAGATGAACCAGTGCAAGTGAACTATCTTAACTTTTCCGAATTTCCATTTTCAGCCAATTATAAAGTCCTTAGTTATAAACATGGACCAGAGACTATCAAAGTTACAGTCAAGTCATTACATGCCTAAATAAAGAGAAATTACCAGTTGCCATTTAATGCATATGTACTGATTATTGTTGATTTTAAGATACATATAAACAAGGGTATAACTAGACTTTCTCACGGCATTTTACATTGGTACATAAAGATACTGTTTGGCATTTTTAAACAATCTACAAATGGCTGTTTGAATTTACTCCCCACACTTGTCCTGCTTTGAATATTACTTGGATTAGTCTATTGTTAATCTAAGTAATGCCTAAAATAAGACACTTATTCTAAGCCACCAACATGTATAGTGTCAACAGTCTGCCTGGATGTACAGGTTACTGGCCTGGCACTATGATGTTGGCATTATGAGGAAGCCCTATTGTTGCCTCTAAGAATTCACGAAGAATTATAATTTAAAGAATTCACAAAGGTTTATTAGATGATATTAAATTGATATATCCTAAATTACAATTATATATTGCCAAACATGACCATAAACATTTAACAATTTATCAATTAATCACAATTCTTTCTATATACAAATGTATATGTATATGTATAAGCTTTATTATGTATCACTACTATTTTTGCTAACTCCACCTTTTAGTAATAGATATACCATTGCTGCGTTGACGATTTCTGGGTTTGCGTAAATTATACCATAATCACGTGACCTTTCTTATGCCTTAACCTCACGAGACGAAGTCGAGTGAGGTTGCATAGGAAAGGTCACGTGATTATGGTATAATTTACGCAAACCCAGAAATCGTCAACGCACCAATGGTGTATCTGTTTTAACCTATAGCTCCGCCCAGAAACACTTACTCCTTCGATCTTCAAAACTGAAAATTATACCATGGTCTGGGTATGGTATAATTTACGGTTATTGGAAATTTATAATACTTGGAAGAATTTTACATAAGAAGCGCTGAAGAGCTATAGGTTAATGATCTCTTAATAATGTACAAATAAAAATATCCTATTGCTTTCAATTTTCCTTTGATATTTTAGGTTAATTAACTGTACACAAGAAAAATTGATGCATGTTTTGATATATACAAAAGTCATTAAAATTGGTGAAAAAAACTAAACAAACATTGTGAATGATATATCAATGTTACATTAAGCTTAAGGTAACTTCAATTCAACTTATTACCGCTATCAGATTGCCTTTAATTAATGTTTACTGACTTTGTAGCCAAAGGGTAGACTTTTATACTTATATAAATGACATGTATATGAAGGTAGGTCGGCTTTTTTTTTAATGGACTACCTACCCAAGGGTATATTATTTACAGACATATTTGCATATGTATATATTCTGCATAAATAATGTATATTTGTGGACATAAATAATTTAACTACAAATATACAAGCAAAATAGAAATATTGGACCACATGTCAAAGGTTTTAATTTGTTCGAGCATGATATTTTTGATCCAGTTTAATGTATTTCTGACACTTGGTCATATGGTATCACCTGAATCGGAGAAAAGGTCCAGATGGCTGGCTCTACATTACTTCAGACAAGGGGAGCAATTTTAGTCTGGTAGCACAGCAGATTAACCATAACCCTCCTAAATATCTTAAAATGGCCCTGTCCGTTTTTCAATCTGGACAAAACCATTAATCATTTTTAAGCAAAATTTCAAAATATGTAATGAATGAATAGCAAACAACTGCAGACCATGATCAGATGGAGAAGGATGTGCCAGCTGATCTTGGTCTGCACTGGCTAAATTGGTAATTTCTCTATCAGTTAAGGCTTAAAATTCAAAACAATTCAGAACGGACTACATTGTGTTTTTCCATTAAATTAAAGGTAACCTTCAGAAAAGGATTCAATATTGCAGGACTTCATTAAAATCAATGTGACATTCTTATTGTGCTTCCAACCAATTTGTGAACATGTATTGCCTTTTTCCACCTAAAAGTGCGAGCCAAATTAGCTTTTAGAGGTCTTGAATCCTCAACTAGTTCTTCATCTCTGACTTATATTTTATGGTAATTTAAAGACCAATTTTTTTCTTGAATGAATACTGAAAACTTTAAACTACTAAACAAATTGAGTGTGCATTTTTTCTCTCATAAAAATCAAAAACAAACAAGAAACACGGTGCATTTAGATCTTACATCATTTCTTTATTCTTTTGCCTGTTTAAAATGAAGAAAGTGTGGATATTATAGTTATATACTGGCTCTGTGTATGGCGTACTTCCAACTTTGAATCTTTTTCATGTACTGTTCTGCTCTTTTCATTCATTATTATAATTCAATTATTTCTATGACCGTATTTGTATAAAACAACCCAACTACAATTTGTATGTTACAGTCAATTGGTTTTAGCATAGTCCTGTTAAAGAATAATTGAACTCTTACGATTACCATATACAGATTTATATCTTTTATCAATATTTTATCAGTCTAGCACCTTGTTAAAGCTATTTATAGCATGTTTTAGCCAATATTATCAAAGACTATTGGAGTTAATTAGTTCAAGGCAGAATGTAAAATTATTGATGGGGAAGGTACATAAAAATAAGGCTGAAAACTATACTCAACTCTGATACTATATGAAAATTCCTCGAGACTATCCTTTCTAAATTCCAATTATATTGATTAATATTATGAGTTTGTTGTCAATATACTATCCCTCAGTATCCCTCAGTAATGCTAATTATTATAATAATCTTTTAGCTGTTGTTTGGTTTTAGGTCACACCAACATTAATAGTGACTTTTCTGTAAAACCTTAGGTGCTCCTTCAAGCATTATTTCTGGCATTAATGGGCACCTGAGTAGAACAGCCAACATACCATAAGCTTCCTCACATAAAAGATTTTGAAGTCCCTGGCATGAGGGGCAAAAGGTATAATGTCAACAAACTTAACCACTCAGCCAAAGACACCCCCATTATAATAATATTATGTCTTGCTTGTTTTTTTCTCTCTTATGTTTTTGAAAGGTCATTCAGTAAATTGAAAGTAATTTTTTATTTCCTTCCAACCCAGCAACACACAGGCAATTTTACCATTACATATGGCAGTATCTTTGTAAATATTAACATTGATAAAATATATCTACAAAAATCTTAGTAGCCCTAATTAACAAAAATTTTATAAGTTTTCCTCTTACACTGATTTATTTCCTTATAATTTTTTTTATTTTTCCTTTAAATATCAAAATCTTGTTATTTCAAAATCTTGTTATTTTCTTTAATGTCTTCAAATTACCTTAATTACATACATTTATCAAAAATTCGATATTTAAGTAAATACTTTATAAATAAGATTGATATCTATACCTAAATTAACATTTTTTAGACATAAATTTACCTGTATCAACTTTCATTTGCTATTTTAAAAGAGCTTATTTTACAGATTTCACAATCAATAAGATCAATAAGTAATTTCGTGTCTGATGGTTGTTACTTATCATTGTATATAATTTGTATTCTGACACTTCTGACAGGCGAGGTTGACTGAAAGCTTCTGTTAATGAGATATCTATGAAAATATCAATATAAAAAAATTCCACCCCACAAAGTGACATTATAATTTGCCCACCGTTCTTAACATGAGGTCTTGTAATAATTTTAATAATGTTCTATTGCAGGAAAAAAACCCTTCATATTACTGACAATTTTGATATATATCATCTAATATTGTGTTATAATAATTATGAAATTACATCAACATGATATCATGCAAGATTGTATGCCATATCAATATCAAGATTTAATTATAAATATCTGAAAAAATGTGATCCCTCGGCAGCATTAAAAACAGCAAAATAACATGAAAATTGCAGACTCGGTTTAATTCTATACATGAGGGTTAATGATTAAAAGTGCAACATCCCTCATGCCCCCTAAACCATATTTTTCCAATATTGAATTCTGAGTTAGTGACAATGAAAATTCAAAGCCTGATTTTTTTTACATGTTTTACCTGGACAACCTGCACATCCTTGAAGTCTGACCAGACTATACTGTTGGTTCAGAAGCTCAATTTTTTATATGAGCCGCGTCATGACAAAACCAACATAGTGCGTTTACGACCAGCATGGATCCAAACCAGCCTGCCCATCCGCGCAGTCTGATCAGGATCCATGCTGTTCGCTATCAGTTTTTCTACTTGCTATAGGGTTTGTAAGCGAACAGCATGGATCCTGATCAGACTGCGCGGATGCGCAGGCTGGTCTTGAACCATGCTGGTCGCAAACCCATTATGTTGGTTTTGTCATGACGTGGCTCAATTATTTTGATAATGAAATCCGAAAAGTAGGACAAATTCATTACACAAATTCAGAACCTTTACATTTCCAGTGTAAACAATGGCCATTCACATGGTTCATTTATCACTTAACAAAGACATGTACATAATTGCCCAGCTGACATAACATACATGTTGAAACAAAGCATGTAATTATTATTTGTGACATTTATAGAACCTTCTTCAAAGAAATCATCCAATTTGTGTCAACCTCCATTATGTCCAGTGGCCACTTCATTTTGTTTGCAAACCTGACATAATTATTTCACATTAGATTCTGACAGCTATACATTGTGATGTATGACAGGTAACCAAGGGTGAACAATTAAAGACATCAGCCAACACAAAATTTCGCCCCTTATTTTTCTTAAACTTTTTCAATTGAATTATTACAAAATACAAAGGTAACATTTGCAACGGATGACTGAGAAATATGATTGATCTAACGATGTGCCATACGTGAATCATAACAAGAAAAAACAGCTGTTTAATGTATAAATATCACACGGGGAAATATTTTCTCATTCCATGTCATAGGCGACAGATTGTAATTATGAGTTTTACTACAAAACACTTAAATGAAAGAGAAATATTTATATAGCAGAAACAATATACATCAACGCACAAGAAACATTCATTTAGCTGATCACCACAGATATTTGAATTATATAACTCAAGTTGTTGTCATGGATTTGATTTATTAAGGGGGTGTGTTGTGTACAAATGAATTTGGTTTAGATGAGTCACAATTCAAATGCAGGTATTAAAAATCCTTACACATACATTGCTAACAAACAGTAAAGGCAAGAAATGATAAAATAAATTTGATATTCTAACAATTTCTTAGAATAAAATTTTCTTTTTATCATCGAGTTGACAAAAAACCAGTCAAATTGGGAGCATTTTGCAGGTGCGCAATGACATAGTATCCTACCATTGATATTAAATTGACTTAATCATTACCATGGTAATACTATAGAAAGCATCATGACTACCAAGTACTGAACCAGTTTCACCATTAATCTGTGCAATTTTAGCAAAAGATTTTCCGTACTATGAATTTGGATATGTTCATTTGAAAACTAAGGACAACATAAATTAAGCTACGAACTGTAATGAACCTGGTCAGACTGTATGGAAATGCAGGCTGGCCTGGCGCTTCACCAGGGTAAAGACTTATAATATCATTACTTTTGATTCCAGCAACTTAATTTTAAGGGTTTAATGGACTTGCTTACAAACAGTCCAAATATAGTTTAACTTATCAAAATACTATAACTTGGGAAAACAGCACTATAGATTTGTCAGACTGCACTGAAGTTACCAGGAACGCCTGTGGCACAGGTTCATAGTCACTGCTTTGTGAGATCATACTTGTACTTTGTAGATTCATGTTCATTAACTTGCATTGGCTAAACCTACATGATTTGGGTGGCAGTAATTGATAGGTCTTAATTTTAAGGTAAATATCTAATAAAATGTTTACCCTCTTTGTCTGTTACTTCTCGGACTTCTTCTTGACCGATGGCAACTGTCACAGCTGTAAAGACAGGTGGGGGAATTATGGGTAAATACTGAATGAAGAGAGTGAGGTGGTTCAAAGCACAAACATTGAGAATATACAAGGATAACAAACTGGGAAGATGTGTAAGGACGTAGACATTTCTTAACATGACTATAAGAATGCATTACAATAGACTTTTAACAAGTAATAGAAAACAAGGTAACCAGATAGATCATAGCAGGGCTCACGCTGTCGGTCGCCATAGTCGCCTTTTGCGATTATTTTATAAGATTGGCGATTATTTTTGCATTTTGGCTACAAAATCTTGCGATTAATTTTTACTTCCAACAGTGTTTATATAAGGTGTAAAAATCGATAATGAATGCAGTAGACCCAATTAACACCAGCGGGTGCAATTTAATTGAGTGTCAACTTTTTACCGGGTCACGTGCTGCTAACTATATTGCCCGAGGTGATAAAAATACATGCGAGATTATAATTGTATAAGAACTTTAAAGATATTGTCCAGCATTTATAATAGCCATCAAATATCCGTCAATTAGCCCAAAAATCGTTTTTCAAATTGATAAACTTGATATTGACTTACCCAAAATTTACCGTGAATTGCAGTAATTGCAAATTTTGATATTTTTTTTTGTTTTAAGCTACTTAACTAAATTGCCAGTGGAAAACAATGGTAAAATTATTTAAAAAGTATAAACTTCCAAACAACTATTTTGCACAAACAACCAAATTGTGAATATTTTCTTCAGAAAACTGGAAAATCCGATTGTACATATTTTCGCGACACCGATAATTTTGATATTTATTTAAAGGTGAAATAAGCTAAGTTCTGTTTAAAAATCTTTAACTACTATGGCAGAAAATTGTATTACATTGGTGATGATGATATTTTTTAGTAAATTATTCAGAAAGAGGCTGCATTCTGTGAATGAGTTTGCAAACTTGTGTTATTTCTATAGGCTAATATGACCTAGATCTACTCCAGTTCTGTGTGAAATGTGGAAATTGACAGTGGTTATAGCTGACAAAATTTGATTAGAACAAACAAAAAAAGTTGTCTGATAACAGCACTATGTAAAGTTATAATGAATCTTTAATATTATTGTTGTACAGTAATTATACTAATTATAACGTTTTTATTCTGTTCTATAATAACAATTAAAGTTGTGGTTCTATTTAAACAAGAGGGCCATGATGGCCCTGAGGTCGCTCACCTGTATATAGCCCCCCCCCCCCGGCCCAATTTTTACCCAAGGGCTTTTATTTGTTTATTTGAACAGACTTGGTAGACACCCATAAGAAGATGTTTCATTGCAAAACATCTAAGTTCTAGCTCATTGGGTTTTTTAAAAGAAGATTTTTTAAGTTTTTACTATACACATAGAGTTAAAAACAATGACACCCCTCGGCAGGGCCAGTTTTGACCCTGGGCTTTTATTTGAACAAACTTTGTAGATATTTACTTAAAGATGTTTCATGCTTAATATCTAAACTCTAGTTATTTGGGTTTTTTCAAAGAAGATTTTTAAGTTTTTGCTATGTATATAAGGAAAATCAAATGACCCCCGGGGCGGGGCCAGTTTTGACCCCAGGGCTTTTATTTGAACATACTTGGTAGACACCCATTAGAACATGTCTCATGCTAAATATCTTAGCTCTAGCTCTTTGGGTTCTTTAAAAGAAGATTTTATAAGTTTTTACTATATGCATATAAGGAAAATCAATGACCCCTGGGGAGGGGCCAATTTGGACCCCAGGGGTTTTATTTGAACAAAACTTGGTAGACATTCACTAGAAGATGTTTCATTGCCAAATATATAAGCTTTAGCTCTTACAGTTCTTTAAAGAAGATTTTTTAAGTTTTTACTATATGCATATAGGGAAAATCAATGACCCCCTGGGGCGGGGCCAATTTTGACCCCAGGGCTTTTATTTGAACAAACTTGGTAGACATTCACTAGAAGATGTTTTATGCCAAATATCTAAGCTCTAGCTCTTACTGTTCTTTAAAAGAAGATTTTTTAAGTTTAAAACTATATGCATATAGGGAAAATCAATTTACCCCCAGGGCGGGGCCAATTTTGACCCCAGGGCTTTTATTTTGAACAAACTTGGTAGACATTCACTAGAAGATGTTTCATGCCAAATATCTAAGCCTCTAGCTCTTTGGGTTCTTTAAAAGAAGATTTTTTAAGTTTTATACTTTATGCATATAGGGAAAATCAATGACCCCTGGGGCGGGGCCAATTTTGACCCCAGGGCTTTTTATTTGAACAAACTTGGTAGACATTCACTAGAAGATGTTTCATGCCAAATATCTAAGCTCTAGCTCTTACAGTTCTTTAAAGGAAGATTTTTTAAGTGTTTACTATATGCATATAGGAAAATCAATGACCCCCCGGGGCGGGGCCAATTTGACCCCAGGGCTTTTATTTGAACAAACTTGGTAGACATTCACTAGAAGATGTTCCATGCCAAAAATCTTAGCTCTAGCTCTTACAGTTCTTTAAAAGAAGATTTTTTAAGTTTTTAACTATATGCATATAGGGAAAATCAATGACCCCCGGGGGCGGGGCCAATTTTGACCCCAAGGCTTTTATTTGAACAAACTTGGTAGACACTCATTAGAAGATGTTTCATGCCAAATATCTAAGCTCTAGCTCTTAGGGTTGTTTAAAAGAAGATATTTAAAGATTTTTCTTTCGGTTGCCATGGCAACCAGAGTTCTGCATGGAATTAAATTCTTTGAACAATTTTTAAAGGTGACCACCAAAGGAACATTCCTGTGAAGTTTGGATGAAATTGGCTCAGTGGTTTATGAGGAGATGTCATTTAAAGCAAAAGTTTACGGACGGACGACGGACGGACGACGGACGGACGGACGGACGCCGGACGAAAAGCGATCACAAAAGCTCACCCTGTCACTTTGTGACAGGTGAGCTAAAAAAAGTAGTTATCAATATACACAAATGTGTCAGTTTATTTGAGAATCCTTATAAAACTGAAAGTTTTATATAAATGTAATGTTTATTTAATCAATTGCTTATGTTGTTAATCGCTAATTCGTGAATAGTCCGCTGAACTTTTGGCTATTATTTTTTTAAGTTGAAAATATTGGCTATTATTTTATTTGAGCCAGTGTGAGCCCTGTCATAGCGAGGGTTGACTGCAAAACTGCAGTAATGTATATAAAATAATGAAGGATTTACAATAGTTTTGCAGTCAATCCTCAATATAGTAACAAACTTTGGTAGGAAGTTGCACATATATGTGACATCCACAACAATATTTTTTAAAATAACATACATGTAGTTTGAGAGAAAAATGAAGGTTCTTTAGCAAAATCCATTAGCAACAAACAATGGTGTTTCAACACAAAATATAATTCTTAATGTTGATGATTTCTCCTAATAGCCTCTTTTGGGTCATAAAGATCATATTGTACATTACCTTTCTTTTAAGCTAACTGCTCTAACTAGGTCATTCACTAAAAAATCTTTATAATGAAGAGAACATATATTTTTTCAGTTTGTACACTTAACATAACATGGACAAATATTCGACCTTTTTTAAATATTATCTGGCACAGGATTGGTTAAAATGTAGGTTAAACACTATATAAAGGACAATATTGATTGATAAGGAACCAAGCTTTTTCTTACGCTGATGTATGAAAATTACTTACGATAAGTTAGCGTCTGAGGAATCGGATTCGAGATCAACTACACCGTAATCTTCAAAGTTTTCTTCATCAGTTCGACTGTAAAAAACAAGAAAGAAAATACAATACACTACAAGTAAAAAAAAAATCAAATTATTTTACTGTCTCACTCTGAGTATGATTGACAATAATATTTTAATCAACAAAGTTTCAAGTAGTGTTAAGTAGTCATTTTAGGAAAGCAGAATATCTTGGTTGGTATTTAAGTCTGATACCAACACTGTAATGGCCATATAGCAACTTTCTCCCTAAAACTAAAACTTAAACTAATTATTCAAATACACCAAATATCAACTTATTTATAGGTTTTAAAATAGACCATTTTTAGAGAAATGCCTTAATTATTGTAGCTTCAAGCATCATGTCTCTTAAAACAGGACAAATTTTCTCAGGGAAAAGTCTAAAAGAGGAAAGTGTGTTACCCATGGCTACAAACAATGCAACAATGGCGTAGCTCAGTGAATTTTAAAAGACAAAGTTACTACAACCTTGCTATGAACAGTTATTTGTCTGGTGAATGACAATTAGGTTAGATTTAAAGAAGCCATTAATCAGACAATAGCTGCTACTGTTATTTTCTCCACTGACAGCATTTCGTCTATAATCAATAAATTCTTCCAGCACAACTGTTGCTCAAGAGATTTTCCTTTACAAAAACCATGAAAGAAATGCCATTTAAAATCACTTTTAAATTTCATGATATATGGGATAAGATTATGTTTTCTTCTTTATTTTCTCCTTCACTTTATCAATATGAGAGCAATTTAAATGTAGATTACAGGAAAGAAACCGAAAATTAATAGGTATCAGATTAGGCAGTATTTTATGAGAGATCAACAATCAACTTCCAGCAATATTTTGTAATATCAGATATTAGATAATCTAATGAATGGCTATTGATTGGTGTAAATTACCAGATAACGATGAAAATATTACTTATGAACAGATCAATTAATATCAATTAAATACTGTCACCTTAGTGCAGTAATGGATTAAGTCCTTCTAAATTTAACAGGAGTTTTACCAGTTATTGCACTTAAAGGTAACGATATGTATAATGAACATTTATATGCGATTGCTCATTTTAAGGAAAGTTTATATAATTCATGACATCATCTATTACAAGGTGTTCATTTTTATCAGTTGGGTTTTTTGCGAAATATCTACACTGCTTTATAAAATATGTTAACGTTTTCGATCACATGACATGCACTATTTATATCTGTTACAAAATAATTCTTTTATTAGTTACTGTAGGTTCGAGTCACATCAATGTTGCTTTAAATGTTATAATGCTAACTGTTGCTGAATGCCCCCAATATTGTAGTATTTGCAATAGTGAGAATGAAAAATTAAAGTAGAAATTCACTAGCAAAAATACTACCAACTTTGATGCAATAGGGGGAAAAGTAGTCCATAACTTGACCCCTATTACTGTGCCGACCAAAATAACTCTTCATGATATAGAGGAGTTTCAGAAATTGCTACTTGATTTCAAAGATAAAAATATCATAAAAGATTAATAACAGTATTGTTATTATTATACTCAATATATACCCTTTTAGTAATCATATAGAATTTTTAAATTGTACCATTATTATTTACATAATCATACGTACCACACACACACAATACACAATTTCTTGTCATTAAATTACAAGGGGCGCTTATGTTATAACAGCACTAAAATATGGTAATGAAAATACAATTAAACTTTATTTATTCACATTTACTTACAATCAATATTTATATATAAAACATTTCAACGGGACATGAAATCCACAAAAGACATTCAATTGAGGTTGAAAACCACTAAATCAATATTATGATTTATTATGATAGACTATTGATCTTCTAGATCACAACATGATAACCTTAGTAAATTATACTGGTTATATTTATATAAATATACAATCAAATTATTAAATCAAGCTTATATCAGCATATTTTTCAAATACACAAGTTCAACAGTTAAACTGTATTACAAAAACAGTAGTAATTCAGAGTTTGAACTTATAGCCCTAGGTTACTATACAGGTCAATTATATACATAGTTGATTGAGGTCCTCACCTCAATGCAAGTTAAATAACTAGAAATTTGAAAATGATTTCTCCTCCTTATATTGTATCTTTTTTTCAAATTTTTATAATCAAATGTGCATTTTACTGCATGAATTTTGTACTTATACATGATAATTTTCCAATTCTAAACCCTCTGATTGACCTTTATTAACTTGCCAATATAATTATGCAACCAGTATTGCATGAGATATTACTTAGGCATGCCTGCATTGCCATGCAGTCTCCAACAAAGCTCTTAACAGTGTTAATTATTTACTATATATAGTTTTTTTGCAATTTGATATCCAAACCCATACCATTAACTATGGGCAGTACCCAAATATAAACTTGACAAATCTATTTCTTTTTTAAAATTTATGCAATGGTATTAAACAGTAGTTCATCAAATGATGACTCACGGACACCCTGCTATAAATGACTACCAGAACAAACCGTCAACCTTATTTATATATAAATGACTTTTAATACAAGGCTCGCTGCCAAAAAAAAATGTGTACACATTTCTGTGTCACTGTTTTCTTTTGGACATTAACTATATCGCTCACCTGATAAAAACTTTAAGAAGGCCGATAGTGAAACTACGGTAGGTATGTTTACAATACTATCTGCATCACACTTTATTATCTTCCACCATCTCTGACTATCTCGCCTAACTAGCAAATCATTCAAGGACTATCTCAGCAAGTTTATATAACAACTATGATAGCTTTGAAGTCGCCCCAATTATTACAATAGCTTTGTAAACATTGAAGAAACTTTTCGGACAACTTTCCGGTAATAATTTTTCAATTGGTCAGTATTTAACTATTTATCTCTAATATGGTAAGTGATAATAGGAAATTCACAAGTGTCTGTAAAATCTATCAAAATTTATAACCTAACAGTTCAAGGGTGAAATTACTCCAATTTGTATCAAGTTTTGAGTATTAAAATCCCATAATAATTTAAAACCAATTTGAATTTCAAGTTCAAAGCAAGGGAATCTTTGATATAACAACCCTTACATTGTTCAACCCAAAATTGTATAGCATATAATAACCTAATTGTGATTAGAAACTGAACAATGCTGATGAAGAAAAACTGGCAACTGGATTTTGCAAAGCAACTAGTACTGTAATGAAGATGGAACAAAAACTGCATAAAATGTGCATGCTGGCTTGGTCCTATACGATGTCTTAAACAAGTTATTATCTCAGCTGAAACTTAAAGCTTGACGAGTGCAAGTGCATAAAATCCTCTGAACATTTCCTGCAGACTCATTTCTCAAAGTATGCAATCTTATAAAAGCCTTGCCAAAATTAAATCAAGCCTACTACTAAAATACTCATTTTATATCTGCAGGAAAATAATTGAAACTGCATTTCGAAATTGCACACAGCATTTTAAGTGTGAAATTTCTGGGAATTTCAATTCTCTTATTCCAATCTCTGATTCTGATTTAAAGTATGTTATTATATACTAGTGTCTACTTGGGTGATTTCTTACAGGAGTCATTTTACCTCATGCAAACATTCAAAACATGAATATGTATAGAATAGAATATTGGGGAGAAAAATTCGCACTCCTACAATTATACTTGTTTTCATTTTCTTAATATAACAAACTTAATTTTAAACACTGAACATACAAAGTTTGAGCCCCACTCACAATGTAAACCTTTAAGGTAAAGTTTCAATTTATAAACCTCACTAGCACTGACCATTTACAAATGCAAAAAACAAGTAGATCTTTAGAAGCAGATTGCATTGTTGGTTTTTGTAGCTTACCCTCTGGATCATGGCAGTAAGCCACTTTGATTTCACTAGAGCACAGTTCAGCCACAGAAAGTTGCATGACTTCCATGAAATAATATAATTCCTGGCAGGATTCAAACCTGCAGTAGAGACATAGAAGTCTCAGAAGTCACATACTTTAATCAGCCAGCCATGGAGGCCTGTAATGAATTGATGGGACACAAAACTTTATACAAGGAATATACCTGGTGGCGGAGGAGCGTCCACTACTGTGACCATATGAAGGGAGAAGATTACGTCGTGAGGTTTCTGGCGTAGAAAAGTCTATAAGTAGTTGATTCCCGTCCTCGTCTGTATTTGTATCGTACTCGTTAAAAGTAAACGCGCTAGCTTCTGAAGTGTCTTGGGCCTGAAAAATATTACTTTTTTTTTTAAATAATAACCTTTAATAACTTTAATGGTAGGATTTCTTACATGAAAAGACTAAGGGTCTAAATATTGGGCATGAAGTTCATGGTTCATTACTCGACATCACTTTTTCTGTAAATGCGCTGCACAGTATGTGATGCAATCAGTAAATGTTGATAATAGAAAAACAACTTATTCAACCATTACATCCGTATAGATATACATACGTTAAATAAACAACATTTTGAATATAGCTATATTCTATTTAACAATTTTTCAAAAGTTATACATGTATAACCACTATTATAATACACAAGGAAGATAAGTAAAGTTTATTAAATTTGCATGCTACACGGAAGTCTCGTATTATATTATACATTTTACTCAGAACCACATGACATGTACTGACCATATATACGCAGTGTTACAATGTTTACCCTTTTCAAATATGAAACTTAACAAAACAAAACAGTCCCACCACTGACTTATAAGCTACATATAACAAAGACATACACCAAAAAAGGAAGTTAAACTTATAAAAGTACCTGTTTATCAGCTGATGTCATTTCAAATGTCCATTAATCAATATCAATAATATAAGAACAATAAGTAGGACAGCTTATATTGAATATTCCGAAATTTGTTTACAGTTATTTTCTATAGCAACCTCACATAATAACAACTTCACAAAGAGTTCCGCTATACAAAATTCAACGACTCAAGCTGAGAAATTCATTTATATCTTATAAAGTAGAATTCCTTAAATTAATATAACTCCTTTAACAGTCTTTCAGCCCAACACATTCCGAAAAAATCAGAAATCAGGTTTCCTGACACCTGAGGTCCTGCGTATAAATCATCGAAAACAGGCTACGTTTTCCACCACAATATTTGTTTCCAATAAACAGAGAGCTTTGAGTCCAACTGTCATACAGATAGTTCTGTTTGAATAGTTTCCAGTGAAAAATGTCTACCAACAGATCAGCCGATGATTGTTTTCAATGGAATGCAGCAAGTCTTGTAGAACTTCTAGCGATGCCAAATGAAACTTTATTCATAATCAATACTTATACTAAATAAACTTTCTTGCCAATAAAGATCTTTAGAAAAGGAGAAAAAAAGATCTTCAGAAAAGGAGATAAAAAATGTCAAAAGGATCTTTTTTTTTTATCAGATGAAAAAGCCATTAGGTGTAAGATATTATTTTTAAAAAAATTGCCTCTGGGTAACCAATTAAAATTACACTTCCCAAAACAAAATCTAAAGTGAAAAGATTATACAATCAATTAATATAAACATTGTTTACAGTTTAAAATTAAAATTAAGGTTGGTCACATAATATCGAACTCCATATGCATGGCATCTTTTGTTTATGTACATGTATATATTGCATATGGATAAATCCAAATTAACCGAGGCCGGAATTTTCATTTTTCAGAGACAATGAATTGGCTTAATTATTCATGAAAATCGTACCATAGATCAGAATAGTACTGTGTCTGGAACCAGCCAGTTAAGTCCCTTGTGGTGCATAGTTTATGACAGGAACCAGAGATTCAGAGATAGGTTCAATCCCATGTGAAAATGTGGTTGACTGGCATGGTTAACAGGACTTATTTAAATACGGTACCTTCCCAGCAGAAACACTTTATTGTTTTAATCAATGAAATGCTATTGTAAATTTTTTTCTAATCAATTGGCTATCTACATTTTCACTGCAATCATTGCTTCAACACATTCCATCCATTCCATGCATGCTAATTACTTTCGTGACATGAAACAAATGGCAACCTTGCATGTTTTGTTTCATTCACTTGCAGACTTTTCTGTAATTTCTGTTTCTAATTTCAAGCAAACCAAAATCTTTAGGATAAAATAGTTAGGGAAAACTACTAGTAAGCCAGAACACTGAATTCCATGCTTAAATATTGTTAAAAGAAATTTGTTCAATTTATGTTTTTAAAAGTGTCAGAATATTCAAAATGGAAGAATAAATTTATTTCTGATTATAATAATTAAATTAATGATTATTTTGAATGTGAGAACCAAATATCAGTAACTGCTCCTTTTTCAGCACTTTCAGGATATGACAATTCTATTCCATGATTCAGTATTATCTAACTGCACCCAGACTCCGTTACATTTAAGCACATTAATTTTTTTTTTTAATTCCTAATAAGCCTATATAAGTCAACTTTCAAAGTCAATATGAATAAAGTTTATTAAGTCAGCCTAATTGTTTACCACATAATACAGGTTATGTGCTGTATTAGACATCCTTCAGTCTTTTATCAGAGTTACAGCCCCTACTTACAAGTCAAGCAAAAAACTGTTAATGACAATAATAACATTTGCTAAAGAAAATGAGACTACTTGTGAGGCACACTTTTGTTGTTCAACTTATCAAGGAGAATTTTATTCGTCTAAGCATAGAGCCTGTAGCAGACAGGAAATTAAAGAAATAAAGTACACTGTTTTATATTCTTATCATGGTATACCAATTTCTGTATTCATACTTTTCAAGTGGTCTCTTATGTTGTTGTGTTCAATATCCAGTCTTAATAGTTGATCTTTATTCAAATTGAATTAGACATCAATGAAGATACGATTGGGAACTGACAGTCCAGAATTCCAACAAAAAATATTGATTCTATAGATTCAGACATGTGTAAAGTTAAAACTGTAACAAGTTAGTTAAAAGCAGTGAGCATGCATGTAGCATGAGAAAAAGGGACACTATTTTCTGTAAAATTTGAATACAAAGTTCACTAAGACAGAGCAACATGCATTCATTTTGCGTTATCCCCATCCCTGTGTATTAAACCAACAAATGCAACCCTCTTTCTAACAGAAGTTTAACTTAACTCACAAAAAGCACCACAATGCCCTTAAGAATGATCATGTACATATTTTACACTGTGGTATATATGAGTTTATATGACTCACTGACATTTATGTAATCATTATAATTGACATGAACATTAAACAATAACATGCCAACAGGCATATAAGCACATGACAAATAACAAGACTGAAATTAAATATGTATATCATTGTTTGTTTTCAAATATCTATTTTCATGAACTAGAATGAACATCTGTTTTAACTACAAATTCACAGGGTTTCTGTAAGTAATGTACATTTTGAAGTAAATTATTATATATTATAAACAAAGCTTGAAGTTCTAATTTTCAATTTTCAACTAGCTTATCAGATTGTTCTGGTTATTTACCAGTACAATTTACATGCATAAACTTTTTGCAAGCTTGCGCCAACACATTTTACCCATGTGACCAGTACAGTCCAAGATCAGCAAGCACATTTTGTGTTAATCTGACAGTGCTGTATGTAGTTTACTACTCACTCAGTATATATTTTGAAATTCTCCCAAAAAATGATGAATGGTTTTGACGTGACAAGTCCATTTAAGATATTTAGTGTGTTTAAGGTTAGTTTATGTCATTAAATATCCATTCAGCATAACAGAAGGTATATAAAACTAATATATTTGTGTGCTCAATTTTATCTTATTTATTGTTAAAGAAACCAACTGACTAGCAAACTAAATAGCCATATATTCATGCTCTAAACATCAGAGTAAAGAAAAAGTCAGAAGAATTGAGAGCATTTGAGAAAATTTTAAATCTTTTAAAGGAGATTTTTATGCAAAAAATAAGTCTAAATGTCATTTTCATCTTCAATAAATTTCAATTTGACAGTGAAAAAAATGCAAAAAAGTGACTTGATTAGAAAATAATGACAATTGATTCACTGAAATTTAGCTTGGATATTGAATTTTTATCATAAATACAAATGTAACAGATTTCAAAGTAACTAGTAATTCAAAAAGATCAAAAGCACCATGATGTAAGGACAAACTTATAAATTTCGCATTAGTTTTACTATCAAACTCATGCATTAAAAACAAAACATACATATTCTGTACACCAACATAGTAAAACATTATTTTAATCCCTATAGTAACACACTAAATGTCTTTAATGTACCAGTACTTATCCATCTTTCAATATTGACACATCCGTTCATCATTTTTATGTAAAATTCCAAAATATTAACTGACGGAATGTGAAGACCATGCTTGGCACTTGTGGCCTGGGATAGAAACTGTTTAGCAGGTAAAGAGTTTAAAGAATTCTTACCTCAGGTGGGGATTGTTCTGATTCAAAATGGAATGAGTTGATGAAGTCACTATGGTTACCAGAGTTTGTTGGGGTTGACTGTTTGGATGCTGTACAAAAAAAATCAGAACATATCAGTTTTCATAATTATCATTAAACATTTTACTGGACAGATGATATATGATATTTTACTAAGTTATGCTACATGCTGCAAAATGTATAACCGCAGTATAAAACATTAATATTACCTGGAATTTAAACATCAGTCATTTGTCAAACAAATGAGTGTTTCATGTTACAGCTATTTAACATGATAAAAAACTTGTTTCATAAAGGAATATCAAAATTCGAACAGTTTTACAACCTTATTTGGTATAAAAATTCTAAAAATTTGACTGTCATGAAAAGAAATCCTGCTCTGCTACCAGTATCCAGTGTTGAGTTATTTCAACATCTCACAGCATTCAGTGACTGCATTATTTTGATCCTCCAGCCCAATACAGTGGCAGCCAATATTGTACAGTACTGGCAGCAATATCGTACAATGGCAACCAATATTGTACAGTATGTTCAAAATTAGTGGTTAACCAAGCTTTTTTTCCTTCTAAATCAGCAGTATGGCTATATAAATGGTTGTAATCTGTGTAATCTTATTACTGCTTTGCACAAGAGTTAATACAGAGCTTCACAAATTATTTCAATAGAATATTAAATTAGAAAAACTGCCTTGTATTACTGGTAATTGTCTTTTAACAAATGGAACCAATGTGGCTTTCATAGATAGGTTTTCTCTGTGAGGTCAGAGGTGGTATTTATCCAAAATTTGACATTAAAATCGATGGACAATGATTCCTATAGAGAGAGAAAAAAGTCTACCTTGTACTTCAAGTATTTGTTGTACACCTTGACAGAAGTCTGTAAAGCTTACTTTCCCCTTGCCTTCAGGGTCTAATAACTGGATGATCCCAATTACTTCCTGGAAAATAAAGAGAAAAAAAACATCAACTATACCATGCATTCACATTTAATTGAGAAAAAAAAACCCATCAGAAATCAATGTGAATGATTCTGTTATCTGTTTGATGGTTAATGATGCTATCAATTCTAGAATCATGCCCTCATTTATAAGTTGATGTTTTAATGAAGATTTTTGTCCCACTTTTTATAGGATTTGTTAACTCTTAGATTAGATTGCAAGCTCAATAAATAATGATCTTGTCAATACATTTATACCAAAAACCTTTAAAATGTTTAGAGCTATCATAGCTGCATTATCTGACAAGATCACTGTAGCATTTTGACAGGCTGTCCTAAAATACATGTATGATAATGTTAACATATTCAGTATGATTTAGGGATAAAAAAAATACTTTCAGAGCCACTAGTTCTTGAATTGCATGAAAAACTAGATGATTTAATTTTTGTACTGGTATTGTTGCAAATTCTCTCAGAAATCTAAAAGTGACATAAAATTCTTAGAAGTATATGAACAATTAATTTTAAATGTATCCAAGTTTGACAAGGAACATGTGTTGATCATTTCAGTGAAAGCCAGTTTGTAAATGCTACCGACAGCAATTTATGTGAAATTTAATTAATATTAAAACCTGTGGTTATTGCATGACCATATTGCATGTTGAAACCTCTTACATGATATATATTTGAAGTCTACGCCTGCGCAACCAACGGTTATTGAAGTATATGACAGGAGGGAGGGGAGTGCAGTTTGCACTAACATAAAGCTCTAATTCATTACTTATCAATCATTCATTTGCCATTTCTTTAAACTAAAAAGCTTATTAACAATCCTGAAATTTTCAAGTACACAATTATGAGACAAAATTAATGTCTTGTTGCATTTAATGCAACATGCCTTTTCACCAGAAGCTAAAGGATTAATAAAATGCCTCAATTTAGCCTCCTCTTGTATTGATGGACATTTATAGTGGACATTTTCAACAAGACTCCAGAGATAATTGGTGTTATCTAAGAAAGATATGATGCCTTTCTATACAGTGTAATTAAAGTGTTTTTAGCTTTGGTAACTGTGGAAAACCCACACGGTCCATATTGACAATTAATTTCTAATAATTGAATAAATGACACCAAACAGTTTATAACATATGTTATACATATATATGTTTCATTAGAATTAGGGTAAAGTAACACAGACAGATATATAAGACAGGTGGGTATTATTGCCTACCTAGGAAAATCTAAAGGTGGGGTTATATCAGTCTGTATAAGAATTACAGGGTTGGTTTTGCCCTACATTTGTAAAAGTTAAATACTTGAAATAATTTGTAGACTATGTCTACACAGAACAAAATTAAGCAATGAAATCTGTTAATCTTTTAATCTGTCTAATATACTTATAATAAAGTAGAAAATCCAGGCAGTTTTGGCCTATCTATCTTCTAATCCATAGACTCTCAATTTACTTTCAACTTGATTAAGTTAATACAAGTTTCTGTACATTATAAGCAGTGATTTTCCTACTAATATAACAGACTCAGAAAAAAGGCATCTTCCCAATTGAAATTTTCTTTAAAATCATTCAGTTTTCCCAAAAATCTGAACTTAATCCAGCTTTTTTACTTCCCAAATCAGCAATTCTAGCAATAATTTTTTCCAAAATCAGTTAAGTGAGAAAAATCACTGATAAGCATTGTAGAACTTAAAATTCCACAGATTCCTTAACTTTTGAAATGCAGTATCCAAACTTTTGCACCATGTTTTTCAAAACTCATAAAATTTGAAAAATTTAAAATTGATAAGAAATTAAACATGTGCATTGTTCTTTTTAATGTTTAATTTTCTGACTAAATTTCAAACTCAAGGAAATCTCTTTAATAATAATTCAGAAGCTCATTAATTGAGCATAAATAAAGGTCTGCCAAATCCAGATTTATCTAATTATTGTGAATTGTGGAAGCCTAAATTTAACTTACCACAAGAGTACTGTGGCAGGTGAACTATTTAGTGCAAAGGAAGTTTTCTTTGTTGTAATGAATGATTTCACTTAAAGATGTCTGGAAAGGCCAAAAAATATCTGTTTCCCGTCCCCGAAATCAGACTTTTAAGTATTTTGCCATTTCTACAGTCAAATTTATTATTAACAGTAACAAGTTCACCAAAAACTAGCATTTTAAACATTTACATCATTAAATTTATTAATTGAATATCAAAACAGAAAATTTATACAAACAAAATATATCTATAAGTTTGGGATGGTAAGAGTTAGGAGGAACTTACAGTAGCATTAAATTGTCTGCCTATAATGTTGGAGCAAACACTTGAGGGGGCTTTTGAGGTTTCCTTGCATACATGTATAAACATCACCATAATCATTAACATATGTTCTCTTGTGAATTCAACTCTACACAAGTAGTTTTTTTTTTTATAAATATACACTTCTTTATACATCAAAACTTAAAGCTAAATTAGCTGCTTTCATGTAATTTTCAATTTACCAGTCTGGGCAATCAAAGGAAGCTATAATTATAGATCTTTTAACTTTTCAGAAATCAGCGTATCTTAGACTCTTAGTGTTTTCACAGCAATACTAAGGGGGTTACTGAAACTTAAAACCCCTATTTTGCCCATAATCCTTTAACAAAAGATACATTATTCCACAAGACTGTAATTAAAAGAAAATATCTTATCAAGAAATCTAGCAATGTAAACAGTCTCAAAGATAAAATCACAGAATATGACAACATATTAACTGACCACCTTGAGTTTGAGACATTTTAATACTAAAAATTTTTGATTGTTTTCTTTAGAAAAATGTTAACATATTCTTTACATATTTCACAACATGACCTGCTTTATAAAAACCATACATTTTTTTTTTGGAAGAATGGAGTTTAGGTTGAGAATTAAGACTCTGATATTATTTAAAATCCTAGGTAGGCCAGTAGTATTCTCTCTAAAATTATCTAACAATGCAAAACAGAATGTCAAAATGCAATGAAAAGATATAATGTATAAGTATTATAATATATTTGGGCAATTGACATATTTTACACATTTCAGATAACAATTGTAAACTAATTATACAAAAATTATAGTATGACTGGATAAGGTCTATAGCTGTTAAACCTATCTACATGAAACATTACCTTTATCAATTAAGACCAATTAACCTAACACTATTGCAGTCTATTCAGCTCTGATAAGCCCAATTATATCAGAAACAATGTAAAATAAACAAAGACATTGGTAGGTTAAACAAATTTCAATAGGTGCAAAGATCATTCCCCTCCCCCTTTCCCTAGTCTACCCCTTTCCCCAGGTAGTTGATGTGATTTTACTTTCCGACATCTTACTTTAGACATATCATAATTTAAATTTTGAGGTATCCACTATCAATATAAAAGATTCAACAATTAACAATAACATTAAACTGTCAACAGAAGTTACTTAAGTGCGTTTAAAGTTCAAAAATGCATAACATTTGCTACCTGACAGTGCCTGAGACTTAATAGTATTATAATTAGTGGCATATGCAAGTGGACATTACCACAAAATGACTTGGGCTCCAACTGAATAAGATTTTTTTTACTGTGGTACCTTTATTTTGTCCGACTTAAATTGTCAGTTCTATTTTAAACAATGATATTTGAGCAATTTTTCCATACTTTACAGTGTTGCTAATAAACATTTTCTGAGACAGTCCATTTTGAATTCGAGATGGTCATTTTTGTTTTGTGGGTGTTTTCCATGTTTTGAGACAGCCAAAAATGCAGCGAGCCAATCAATTTGATATGGTGGCTGATTTGTGACATCAGTGTTTTTGCCCCGCGACCCTGTTAAGTGAAAAGTCAAGAATTTACAAGTTAAAATGGCAGGGGCCTGGAGCAAAAGCATGCTAATTGGTGGGGTGCGAGACAAAGTTTAATAAATGACGATTGTCCCGTGGAGGCGCCAAGCGAGATTTAAGAAATAAAATGGCGGGGACACAGAGCAAAAACATGCTAATTAGCGCCTCGCTTATTAGCGAGTTTTTGCTCTGCTCCCTCGCAATTTTAACTTTTTTAATTCTCAATTTTTCACTTGGCGGGGTCATGGGACAAGAGGAGTAAAGTTCTATTTATTAAAGTTTGCCCGCGCCCCTGCTGATAAGTATGTTTTCGCTCCGCGTCCTGCTATTTTGTTTCTTAATTCTCTGGTGGGTGAAGTTTTATTTATTAAACTTTACCAAGCAGTCACGCTAATTAACATGTTTTCGCTCTGCATCCCAGCCATTTTAACTTGTTCATTCTAGACTTTTCGTTTGTGAGGGTTGCGGGGCAAAACGAATAGCTCAAATCAGCCACCATAGTTTGATCTACAGCTGTCTCCAAACCTGATTTGTCCTGGTTATCTGTCGAATATTAGGTCTTATGAATGTGACATGCCCTAAAAAGGTACACAATGTTGTAAATAGAACTGTAATGTTGAGAACAGGTGAATGGAACTGAAATGTTTTACCTAAGAACTTAAAGTTCTGTTTATTTCAATGGGGTCGTAGAGTTGGTACGAAGCTGAATTACAAATGATTGGTCATACATAGTACTTTATATTACTGTATTAAATGACAGACCAAGGCCTACTCCAGAAGATTGCTGTATTATAGAGTGCGACCTTCTTGCTCAACTATCTAATTCGACATGAACGGTTTGACCCATTTAAAAGGCATTTGGAAAAGACTTTATTTATTCAAAATTATCTCAATGTCTCTTTGACAAATTTAATTTGTTGCATTAGATCTACCATCTTGCAAGGTAATTTTTAAAGTCCTAAAGTAACATCAGGGTTCTCATTAGGACTTTAAAACATGGAGTCCATGGACTCCCAACCATGAAAAAGTTGGAGTCCAAAAGCGCGTCGAAATTAATATGTTTACAGAATAGTCATTCAACATTGCTGATATTTTGAATCTTCAAGAGACTTCCAAAGTTTATAGTTATTCAAAAGAAACTCTGAACTACATAGTATAATTATTGTTTTGTTGTTAATATTTATTATGGAATTATTTCATATTAATGCATCAACACATGGAAATCGTTTTTTTTTTTTTTTCACTTTTATACCAAATCAAATTTTATTCTGGTTAAAAAAGTCTACTCTAAAGACAAAAAGTTTGTATTTGTAAAAAAAAACGTAAATGTATATAGGCAGCGTTTAGCGGAATGAATAGGAAAATCGTGTACAGCTTCACGCAGTGTGTAAGAGATTCATCCGATCGACAATTATTTTAGCAAATATCTTCAAAAGGGGACAAATTGAAGATCGATATTTAAAGATTTAATGTTGATTAAATAATAAAGGAACAATTCATTCGCATGTTTGGCTTGGTAACCGAGAATTTTTGCGAAATTTTAGGGTTTCTGGCGAACGTGAAATCGCCGATGTTCCGGATCAATTTTCGGATAGAATAAAAGCGTATGTGTACCTGGCATTTCGGCACAATATCTTAAAATTATAGAAAAGTTTTGCAAGAATGAAACTAAAGCAAAATTGTGCCTAGAAAATGCCGAAAATATTCGACAATCATTCAAAATTACACTCATTTGTAATTTGAGAAAACAGTCTTTAAACTTGCGGCGTAAATAGTCGATAAAATTATCCCTTGTAGGTAAAATTTGCTAATTTCAATCAACTGTTGATCAAAGATATAAAATTATCACCTCGTGTAATATATCTGGTAATCAGCGCGTGTATACATTAGTCTGATCACTATTGCGTGATAATGATCGGAAGCGTTATCGCTGATTGGCTAATCGCTTCACGGGTCGATATGCATAGGACCGCCTACCTATAGACTGACACGCGCTGACGCATTTGTGTATTTGTGGTTGTGAACAATCGGTAATGTTTATGCGTCCCCAAGCAAAATTAAGCGTACGTGGAATCCTTGCTCTGAAATATTTGCGTCCAGCTGTATTAAACATGCGTACCGGGACGCCGAAATAAGCGTCCCCGAGAACCCTGAACATTATCAGCAAAGAAATTATAAAAAAAATGTTTATATAAGTATCACAATTAAATACTTCTTTTTATAAATTAACAACAGTGTAAACCGGCTCATACTTTGTGGTTTTGTTATTATTATTATTATTATTATTGATAAACCACAGCTAATGTTACGCCTATGTACAATACCCCACCCACCCCATAACAAACGTAAACAAAACACATCGCGAGATTAATCATTTCAAATCAATTGTTTATTTTAATACCTCGTCGCTGTCAGCTCCAAAATGTTCCTTGGCTAAATTTTTCAAATGATCTACAGTTATATATCCAGTTCCTTCTGTATCACAAACATCAAAAACACTTTTAATTTTTTCCGTAAAATCCACCTCCATCGTACATTGAATAATTTACCTGTAACACTAACAGGAAGTCACGACTTACTGAAAGTAGTTCGAACTTAAATCCAAATAAAAATAAATCATATAGTGAATATTGAAAGATTTTACTTGTATATATGATGATAATGGTTAAAAGCGAGTTATTCACACTTAAGAAAATGTTTGTGACAAAAAGGCACACGCACTCCTTGTGCAATTTGTTTAGTTAGTCGCGGATTAATCTACACGTTGACAGGTGTCATTTACCTGGGACTAATTGTATTGATTTCATACACTGACTGTTTACTTTGGAATGCATTACGGAGGCATATGAGTTGAACTTTTACATTTTCATCAATAAATGAGTTTTTTTTTAAATGTTACTTAATTTACCTAACATTTAGTTACATGTATACATTGATCATAGGAACGCGGCTTAGTGAAACTGGGACTAAAATGAGATCGAAAAACAATGATATTGTGTACATATATGCATATATAAATATAAATAAATTTATTTACTTCAGTATACATAATTTTCTAGAATTGTTACAGGGACGGGCTCCTGTAATTCATTTGTTTGTCAAAATATTTTGACGCGCCAAATTTAAAGCTATAGATTCTGCACGAGATATTTTTGTTCTGGGTCAGAATCGCTTAGAACTAGCTAGCGACTCCAGAGGGGAAATATTGCCCATGCTCAAAATAGCAAACTTTATCCCAACAGTTGGACTCGTACATACATGTATGTGTGTGAAATGATTGCGCAAATCACGATCGATATGTCAATATTTAGAATAGTACGATTAAATACTAAAAAAATCTCTGACAGATTAGACCTACGTTTTCAGCGGTACGCCTGCTGGACCAAATGCCAGAGCACCTCGCCACAGCTCCGAACCTGAAGACATTCAAGCTTAGACAGGTGACAAATAAACTATGTACAGTTTTCACCTGCACCAACTAAAGCACCTCACAACTTCCTCGTGCGACAAGACTGACTTGAGAGTCCAGTAAATTGTCACATGAAGAAGATTAACTGGAACATCTGAAATTTAAGATTTGTTTCTGTACCAATTAACAAAATAATAAACATTAATTGTGTAACTCATTGATTTAATTTAATAAATTCCTACTGGGCTTCCAATACCTACAAAACCCTTTTCCTTCTTTGTAATGGGCAAACATGATATTTATAATTTAAATAATGATTTTAGAGTATGTTGGATGCTTATCGCCTGATAAAAAAGCGCTGAATTCAAATGTTCAATTATTTGTCATAAAAGCAAAATGTAAACAAAAAGGCATTTTGACATCCGTAACTATACTTATTGCCAAAAAGCAACAGTAGCAAAAGCCGTTTAAGTTATTGGTCAGTGGTTAACTTTTTAAAATTATAACTAAAAAGCTTTTGAGAAATAAAAGTAAAAATGGGCCTTTAAGAATGATATGCGTCCATAAAAAAACAGTGCAAAATCAATATCAACTTTCAGTTTACGCATGAATGGAACGCAATGATAATGACCAAATTAGGACTATTAATTACAAGTGTTGAGTTCAATACCTTAATATGAAAACTTTATAATATTATAATATTATATTCAATGGCCCAGTAAAAGATCTAGGCTTTAATGAAATTGACATAACTGTTATAAGTTTTAATAGCAAGACATAGCAAAATGTTTGAAATCGGTGACAAAAAGAAGTTAAAATAAATAAATAAACACATGTATAATGATAAATAATAGCAGGTTCGTTCAAATCTATTTGAAAGACCCTGATAATAGTGATAAAAATCATCCACATGACAACTGCAGCATCGCAGTACAGCGGGGAATAACTGCATTATTTAACTCCCAACCAAGTTACCTAGGTTCCTTCCCTTTAAATTTATTTCCTGTTGATGCGTATTTGAACATGTCGCAACATGTAAATAAGATTTGTTATCTCTGATAGTATATAACTAACAATAGGTTTATATTAGTGATCTACATTAATGATCTCCTTGTTCACGTACTTAAACATAGATACACTATTAAAGTATTTTTATCTCTTTACCAACGGATTGTTTAATTCCGAAATAAAGCGAAATAAATTTATTGTTTCGTTTTCAAATTTCTGAAAATGACAGGAATATAACAGTAGGAAGAAAAACGTGAGTACTGAGTTTCCTTATTTTGCATCCTATTTCGATTTCTTACAATGTTTGATATATTAACGTTGTCCGAAAGATCTCTCGGTTCATGTAAAATATCAATATTTTATTGATTTCAGTAAAGAATGACTCGCCGCCCAGAGAGATTGAAAGCTACAAAACTGTATGGATCTGAAAACGTAGCAGATCAATTAAAAGCGCCAGGAGAGAATGGCAACAAACTGACGAATCAAAACCCAAGTACCACGGATAAGAATCAACCAAATTCTAAATCATTAAAGACTGGTATTGTCGACAAAGAAGTGCCAATGAATTCAAACACAGATACAACTTCAAAACCAGTAAGCACACAACAAAAACATGGAGCGAAACTACAAAATTCTAAGATCCAGCCAACAGAAACGGGAGAGGAAAATCTGAAAAGTAATTGGGTAAATGGATTACCAAAAGGATTTGTTACTCGCACTGAAATGGAACAAAGGGTGAATAGAAACAATTTTGTCGTTGGTGAAAAACAGTTAAAATCTCAGAGTAATGAAGCAGGTGCTTTGAGTTATGATAAGTCAAATAATAACGCCATTTCTAAAGGAAATGTACATTCTAAAGTTCCATCTGGCTTCGTTACATTGAAGGACATGGAAACCCGCATTAAAAACAGAAAAACAAAATCAACGAAACTAACGCCACTGTACCTAGAAGAGGAAACAGATGAGACACTAAAAATTCCTTCAGTAAATTTTGACCGAGATCCACGCATTAAAACTAAACCTAATCCAAACGGTATACATGTTTTCAGTAAACTAGAAAAAATAAAAGACGAAGCAAAAGAGACAGATGAAGTCAAGCAAACAGACACGAGATTACCAAAACGAAATAAAGCTGGTGTTAACAATGCGCTAAAAATGGCAAAAGTATCTAAATTTAACAATCAGGCAGTACCTATGAGTTCCGAAAACGAGGAAGCAGTAATAACTTTGAAGGAAATTGAAAAGCAAAAAGGAAATCACTTCTCTGATACAAATGAACAAGGAAGAAGAGAGAGTGGTGGTTCTGGAAAACAGCCAAGCATAACAATAACGCCAAGAATGACAAGCACAGCCATCCCAAAGGCGCCGAGAAATAATGCCCAAGCAAACAGTTTAAAAAGCGATACATTTGAATCAGTGAAGATAATGTTAATGAATGCAAATGGGAAGAATGATAAAGGTGGAACACCGACTGAAAGAAGGAAAAATGCCATACAAAATGTAATTCTAAAGCATTCTCCAAAGATTGTGCTTTTCCAAGAGTTTAGTTGGAAAGGCATCACTGGTAAAACATGGGCTAAATACCCGTTCCCGGAACATTACGTATACAAGGGTCATTATGATGCAAGTATAATGTACGATTCTTCTTGTATAACTGTGAAGGACCTCCCCTCATCCGATATACAAACCATCCTCTCCGGTTTACAAAGTAGCGCTAACAACCGCTTAAAAAGGACATTTCCTATGGATTTTAATCCTGTTGCTCGTATGTGTCTATCAAGAGTTTCCACCCCTTCCAAGCCTGCTCTAGATTTCATCTGCATATCATGGCACGGTAAGTCAAATGAAAATGGGGGAGGAAGAATGAAAGAGCTGAAAAAGATTGAATATTTTGAGTATTGGATGGAATTTTTAAGACACATCAGGGAAAAGTATAAGTTACCAATAGTAGCAGGAGGAGACTATAATGTGGACATGTATAGCATTGAAACATATGTGACAAGCCCATTTAAACTCTGTATCTATGAAACATCCATGAGGAGAACTGTACGAGGAATAGTCGACTACTGCATTGTTACAGATGATCTTGATTTCACGGAGATCTCGTGGGTAAATCTTGATCGTGACACAAGCGTATACCATCCGAATGAAATTCTGGATCATGACCCGATAGTTGGATCTTTATCTGTTAGTTTACTTGGTGCCTCTGATGTGAAACTGGGAATGAAGAAATCTTGGCCCTCGCCGATTGTCAAGCCAACGTAATTTATTCCAGGTGTATTGATAAAACAAAAAACGCTTTTGAGTCTTGCATATACTGTTTAGATGGGCAATTATATCAATAATTATTCAACTGATGTTAAACAAGTCAACATTAATAGCTGGAATCCTTTAGCATATTTTAGCAATCTTCATTAGTAATATATAATAATATAATTCCCATCTTTTGGGTATCAGGGATAATTATTCTTGCCAGTATTATCTTCAAGGCCAATTATATTATTTTGCATTTGCTGTATATCGTTCGTTGTTTTAAAGCTGCATACCTACATATGAGCCAAAAAATTTTTTAGAAAATAAAACAAAATGTGAGCCAAAAAGATTTTAAGAAAAGTAAAAAGGTTGAAGATTCCAGTAATAAATAATTCACATGTTTTGTGCGATAAATGACTAATTTTTCAATATTTATTACATGTACCATATTAACACTGCATGACTTACGTTGTGATGACTATTTTTGCACATTATTCACAACCTCCAAAAAACCCTCTTTTTAGTAATATTTCGTGGCTTGTAAGTGCTAATTATTTTCTTTGTTTACTTCACATTGTTTTTACTTTTAATCACATTTTCAAGATTTTCACGAAATTTAGCCTGAATCTGTAGGCATGCTGCTTTAATTGATAATCGAGATTTTAACTATTTTTTTCTTTTAAAAATGTCGGTTGAATATATGTTATTTTTTGTTGTTGAATATTCCTGTTGATTTTGTTGTTAATGAAGTGCAAGTTATTTGTTCTTTTTTGTTGTTTACTTATTTATTTATCTATTGCAAATACTGTGATTTTAAAACTTCTTTTAGACTAATTATTTTTTCAAATATATTTTTATACATAGAAATCTACATGTATTTCATACTAAATCATAATTATTTTTATATAAATTTAATGTAAAAAGAAAATATATCAACATACAACATATTGTGTTATTCATATTTTTATCTCCACCTTTGTTATATTCAATCGGTATATAGCTATATCTTATGAAATATTTTTATACAATTTATAAACAGTAAAATTACATTATTTCAATAATTTTACAGTCGATTCTCGAGAAAATTGTAACTTAGCAAGTCCTATCAATATTGTACGTAAAGACAATAATATATCCAGGCTATTATTTAGGAATGATTGTGATGTCGTACTTGCGCCATGCGTTTTTAAGGGCAATATACTGCCATATCTTTTTCATACAAGCATTTTTGAAGTATTCTGTTTGAAAATATGACAATATGCTCATTATTACTCACGGTATATTAATGATTACCAGGTTTCAAGTGTTGCGTTGTAGCTATAATATGCTGTTTTTTCCCGTTTATTCCCAAACATTTTGTGTTGAAGATTGAATGCTGCTTACTGAGCCGGTGCTAGGGAGTGAGAAAAGTGAGACTCAGACAACCCGATCATAAGTTTCGTTTCTATTTGTTTGGGTCGTCAGTTTGGGTCGTCAGACCAAACAAATAATATGGTAGCGAAATTTCAGACCCTGATATGCTTATTTGCAAAATCCGAAAGTAGTTCATCACGAATTCCTCGAGATGTAATTTAATACAAGAAAAAAAATATTTCACAGAAAGAAAAAATGCAAAATTGACCAAAAATGGTTCGATAAAGATTGCTCGAAATTTAGAAAGGAATATTACCTAAGCAGAAATACCTATAGGAAAAATAAAACCGAAGGTAATAAAAACCTTATGATGATAAACAGTAAAAGATATAAAAAAGAATTAAATAAAAAGTTTAACAGTTTCAATGACAATGTCATAAAAAAGCTGAGAGGACTAAAGCATAGTGATCCTAAATCTTATTGGAGTTTATTAAATAAATATTCTTCTGATAAAAAAGTGATAATAAATAAAATAACTAATGAGGTTTTCCATGAGCATTTCGGTAATTTGAATGCAGATATTTTAAGAAATGAAAATGACGTAGATAATTTTAATGTTAACAACTTACCAATGTTTAATGAGGCACTGAATTCGCAATTTACTGAGCAAGAAATAGATAAGGCTATAAAGGCGCTTAAGAATAATAAAAGTCCATCTATATTTGATAACATTATTAATGAGTATCTCAAAAATGCTCCTGATAATCTGCTGGCTGTACTTAAGCTATTTTTTAACATTATATTAGACTATGGTATCTTTCCGGATGTGTGGAGCAAGGGAGTTATCTTACCATTGTATAAAAATAAAGGGGATGTTAATGATCCGGATAATTACAGGGGCATAACAATACTCAGTTGCTTTGGAAAACTTTTCACTTCGGTACTTAATAACAGATTAAATGACTTCTTGGAATCAAACAACATTCTATGTGAAGAACAAGCAGGTTTCAGGAAGCACTACAGTACTGTTGATCACATATTTTCATTAACACTTCTAGTGGACGTATATCTAGCACATGGAAAAAAATTGTATTGTGCATTTGTAGATTATCGCAAGGCCTTTGATTCTGTAAATCGCACTGCCATGTGGCATAAATTATTAAGTCACAATATTGATGGGAAATGCTTTAAAATAATACAGAATATGTATGACAAAGCTAAGTCATGTGTTAGTTCGAATAATACAATTTCAGATTTTTTCACTAGTCATACTGGAGTATGACAAGGTGAAAACTTATCTCCAATATTGTTTTGTCTTTTCTTGAATGATCTAACTAATTTTATGTCTGATAAATATGAAGGTTTGCAGTTTCTAAAAGAACATACAGATGATATGTTAAGTGATGATGAAATGGAAGTTTATCTTAAACTGTATTTACTATTATACGCAGATGACACTGTACTATTGTCAGAGAGCTCTCAGCGGCTTTCTTTAGGGATTCTGTTTATCTCTATTTTATGGTCACATCAGTGTTATTTGTGCCGTGTGGCGGCCGTAAAAAGTCGCCCCGTACATTTAATCAAAGATGTTATATTTTCGATCCTTGAAGATCGTTCAGCACGACATAATTGTTGTGTATTCATGTTATGTGGTATTTTTAGTTTCTTCTATTTGGCTTTTTTCAATTTGGGTGGTTCCAGTATTCCTACTTGAATACTGTCTAATCACCCTTAGGATATGTTGCCTGCTTTTTAAATTTGTCTTTTGACGTATTATCTGTGATATGCAGGCTTCATAACCTCTGATCCCCTTTCAAAATTCCATTTTATTTAGTTCCGCCCATTGTTTTCTCGTTTAGGGCACACGCATTTTTTTACTTGGGGACTATATGCCGCTTTTCATGGAATGGCACTTACGTGTCACATTGAAGGTTCCATGACAACCGCCATATGAACACATTTGCGGATGTTTCAAAATTCCAAATTGTACCAGTTCATGTATAATGTTGAATTCTGCTTAAGCCGGTGCTAGGGGGCGTGGACGGTAACTTGCACTATCCAGTACCGTCCATGAACAGGCTCAATCAAACCGAGCCTGCAACATTGTCAATTTTGCCGTGTTGGGCTTTCTTTAGGGATTCTGTTTATCTCTATTTCAGTTAGCATTCAACGCTATGTCTGACTACTGCAAGCTTTGGAATCTTGAAATAAATACAAATAAAACCAAAGTTATTATATTTTGGAAAACCAAAAGAGGTTTGCGTTATATGCCTAACTTTCACTATGAGGGGACTGTCCTTGAAATTGTTGAGCATTTCTCATATTTGGGTGTCCAATTTTCATTTAATGGTAAATTCGTAAATTCAGCAGAACTAAAACATTCCTTATATTCCAGGTAACTTTTTACAAGATCAAAAAGTAGTATCAGACTTATATGAGTCAGTCTACCAGTTGGAACAAGGGCTACGAACACAGTGTGATATTGATAATGCATACGAGACACTATGTAATACTATTAAAAATGATATGCATGATAAATTGTCTTGTAAACGTTTTGTTTTAAACAGTTCTCAAATAAATAAAAAGAGAAGGGTCGGAAAACCATGGTGGAATGATGATTTAAGTTTGTTATGGAACAATGTTTGTAAATCAGAAAAAGACTGGCTATGTTGTAAATCTAACGGTAGAAGGAAAGAGCTGAATTGTATATATAGAAACTGTAGAAAACTTTTTGATAGGGAGGTACAAAAAACTAAAAGAAAATACTGGTTCCAACAGCAGGGAGAACTACTTAACTATGTAGAATGTGACCAAAACAGGTTTTGGAAAACAATTGGTAAAGTTGGTATATCTAAAACAAAAACACACAACATTCCATTTGAGTTTGTTGATGACAAAGGAGTATTAGTTACAGATCAAGACAAAGTTTTAGATTATTGGAAAGATAGTTTTAAAGATCTCTTGAATGGTTCCTCTGCTGATGGATCTAGTGTTTATCGTCAAAGAGACGTTCAGACAGATCATAACAGTTATATCCCACAGCTAGACAATAATATTTCAGTAAATGAAGTAAAAAAAGCCATAGATAAAGCTGATTTCCGTAAAGCTTGTGGTGTTGATAACATACCATATGAAGCTTTTAAAAATGATACTGCAGTTTCATTCTTGCATGTACTGTTTAATGTATGTTTTAAAACTGGTCAAATACCTAAAGACTGGGGAAAAGGCATTATTACTCCCATCCCAAAATCTAATACAACAGATCCTTTGAATCCGTTAAATTATAGGGGTATAACTTTAGCACCTACTATGTACAAGCTATATTGCTCAGTTATTAACGAACGGTTATCATCATGGTTAGAGGATAACTCCAAAAAATGGCTTTCGTAAGAAGCGTAGTACTGGGGACCATTTATCAAGTATCGCATCTATTATAGAAACTAGATTAAAAAAGAAACTCAGCACTTTTACTGCGTTTATAGATTTTAAAAGGCTTATGACACAGTTGACCGTTCAATATTATGGGAACATTTATTTAAGATGGGATTGAATTGTAAAATGTTAAATGTTATTAAGTCTCTATATTCTTGTGTAAGTTCATGTATAAGACTGAATGGTTACACTTCAAAGTGGTTTGATGTTAATTTGGGATTACGTCAAGGATGCATTTTATCCCCTGTGTTATTTAACTGCTATATAAATGATCTGGCTGTAAACATAAAGTCTAGGTCTAGGAATAGAACTTGAAGAGGAAAAATTCTTATCAATTTTATTATATGCTGATGATGTAGTACTTTTGGCAAAAAATGAGCAGGATTTACAAGCCATGTTAGATACTGTATATATATGGTGTAATACAAATCATATGACAATCAATGTAAAGAAAAGTAATATTGTACATTTTCGAAGCATATCGACACCAAAAACATCGTTTCCATTCAAGTGTGGAACTGATAGTTTAAATGTCACTGATATCTATGTCTATCTTGGGTTGGCTCTTAATGAGTTTCTTGACTATAACTTTACAGCAAAATTTGTTGCTAAGGCACAAAGCAGGGCTCTTGGACTTATTATTGCAAAATTTAAGCAACTTGGAGGTATGCCTTTCAATGTATTTAAAAAATTGTATGATTCCATTGTTTGGCCTGTTATGGGTTATAGTGCTGCTATTTGAGGTACAAGAAAGTACAAATGTATTGAAGCAGTACAGAACCAGGCAATGAGGTTTTTCTTAGGAACAGGCAGATACACTCCAAATGCTGCAGTTGCTGGGGATATTGGCTGGGAACCTATCTTTATTAAACAACTTAAATGTGTGGC